TATTTTAGTTCATTCAGTGAAAGATGAAATGCTCAGACAGGCAAACTCTAGAGTCTTTGCATCCCCTGTTCATCTGTGTGCGTGTGTGTGTGTATGTCCTTCAGAGACCGGGCAGCAGGAGAAATCACTCTGTTGGTTGGTAACAGGTAGCGGCTCCACTGTGGCTTTCCCCCCCTCAGACAGACAGGAACATTACACATACTCCGTGCTCCTGCTCTGAGCTGTCATGTTGTCTGTCCTGCGGCTGCAGTCCAAAGAGTTGTTCCTCCATTTTCCAGCATCCATTCAACCCAGAGACAGCTTTGGCAAGGAGGAGAGCAGAGATCAGGCAGCTCAGGCCCTCAAACTGCGGCTGCCACTCCCTGTTTCTCTGCCCTGGAGTGCAACACGAGGTTGCATGAGTCAGAGCAGTTAAACATCCAATCTCTGTTTTTATTTGGCTGCATAAATCTGAAGTATAATCACGTGAATTATAAAAAAAAATCAGACATAGATAAAAATCAGCATTATTGAAAATGTAGGCCTGTTATGAAGATTAATCTGAGATTGTGTTTTTGTCGTGGAGCACCTTCAAAGACTTTGGAGGTGGAGAAACACTTTTGTTCACATTTTGATTTATTTTTTTCCCATTCGCTGTGGCTGAGGTGCATGCAATTTATTATGCTGTTATTTTGAATCTTGTTTGTTGTGTCAGACAGACCCTCTGTCTTTATCCTCTCCTGTCACTTTTGCTTGTTTGCTATTCAAAATAGCCTCGGAGAGAAACCGAGCCCTCTCCAAAACAAAAGAAAAAGGTCATTTTGGTTTCATCAAGTTTGCCAAATTGTGAATAATATTGATTCCACACTCTTTTGAGGTTTTCTCTTTTTACCGTAGCTACCAAATAGAGTATCTGCATGAGCGAGGGGGAAGAGAAAAAGATAGAAAACCAGACAGAGACTCCACAATTTAATGAGTGTGTTTGTCTTTGTATAAGTGAGAAGATTTTTCCGTTTACTGCAGTGTCCCAGGTTTGCTATTAGTGTGTGTGTGTGTGTGTGTGTGTGTGTGTGTGTGTGCATCCATAGGCATGTTTCCATAATTACAGTGTAAATCACCTGAAAAGTCAGTCTGAATGGTTAGATTGGATCAATACATATTTGCAGTGCATTATGGCTGCACATCAGTGCACACACCAGCAGACATGCAAAATATAAAACAAATAAGAAACCGCTCAATATTCGTGTGTGTATGTGTGTGTGTGTTTCTTATCATGTGTGTATGCCTGTTGGTAGATGATATCATTAATATCTTAGTCATGTTCCACTGATTGCCTTTGTTGTAGTGTTGTTATCTGACATTGCAGATAACATTGATAAATACAGCTGCGTATAATTTGATTTTTTTTTTCAAGTCAAGTTCAAAAACAATACCTGAGATTAAAATATTGAAGTGAAACATTTTCCTATACCTTACTTTGATAAATATTTTCAAGTATTAAATGTAATCTTGATATTGTCTTGACAGTTGAGAAGCTCAATAAAATAAATGTCCAAATCTTGCTTTAAATCGGAATATATGGTTAAAGGAATAATATGACATATATGCTTATTTGCTTTTTTGCTGAGAGTTAAATGAAAACGTTGATACCACATTCCTATCTGTTGAATATGAGTCTATAACCAAGAGACAGCTTAGCTTAGCTTGGCATAAAGACTGGAAGCAGCTGGGCTTCTCCAAAAGTTGAAAACATTCCATCTACCAGCACCTTTAAAGGTCACTAATTAGCATGTTGTCTCCTTTGTTTAATGCTTATAAAAACTGCATACTCAAAAAGATATGTTGAGGTTTTACTAGGGGATATATGCTGGACTTCTTGACCAGGAACAGTGACTTGCTGGATTCTCTGCTAGTTGCCTGGCAACCTCACAGTGACGAAAAGATTCTATAAAGTCAATGCAGGCACATAACCTCCCATAAATAACGTGAGCTTTAGTGGGTCTGGTAAGCAGATTTTGTTACCTTTGGACAGAGCCAAGATAGTTGTTTCCCCGTGCTACCAGTTGCTAAGCTAATGCTTCATCTTTAAAGGTCCAGTGTGCAGGATTCAGGGGGATATATGGGCAGAAATGTGATATAATAAGTATGTTTGTGTTTCAGTGCAAAATCACCTGAAAATAAGAATCATTATTTTTGTTGCCTGAAAATAAGATGTTTATATGTACATAGGGAGTGGGTCCTCATCAAGAAGTCTGCCATGTTGCACAGCCATATTCCTTCAGTAGACCAGTATGGCTCTAGGTACGACCCTTCACGTTGTCATGTTTTTTGCATGGGCGATCATAAGCCCCTTTTACACTGCCAGATTTGCCACGAAAGTTGGTCCATTTTGCCGACAAGCTGCAAGCGTTTAGACACACAGAGCCGGATTGGCTAGCTGATCCGAGGTGCCCAATTTTCCGCCTCGTAGGGTAGTCATATTGGCAGAACCCTTTTAGTTTAAACAGACCAAAGAAGACTTCCGCAAAGAGAGGGGCTGTTGAAGACTTGTGGGAGGAGCTGTTGATGACGCCGCACGTGCAAGCCACTGGCGGTGGATAAACAGGAAACAGCTGATAGCAGGAATTAGCAAGCAGGTAGTAGCAAGGGGGAAACGCAAACCTGACAGACACTGTAAAGATGAGCAACTGGGGAGACAAGGAATTGGGCGCCCTCCTTGTCCTCGCAAACGAAGAGGCCATTAACCGTCATATGACAGGAACAGTGAAGAACGGGCCAACTTACAAGAGAATCGCCTAAGGACTGACTAGCCGCGGCTTCCCTCCCATGTCACTGTTTACGTCACACACTGAGCTACATGGTTTGTTACTTGCTCACACCCCCCATTGCCCCGGAAAAGGCACATTCTGTATTACGCGATTTTGTTTTTATACTGCCAATGCTGAAAAAAGACTGATTGGGCTTTCCTGCAAATTTGCACATCTCCTATCTAAAAAGGCTATAGTTAGCAGCCCCTCTGAGATGAGCAGCATTGGAAAAACAAGATTTTTTATCTTTATTTTTTGTGAGAAACTGCTTCATTCAGTGTTTTTACCAGCTTAAAGCCCAGTTCAGATCAAACATTCCTGATGAGATGAAGCTGTTTTAGAACATTGCAGAGAAAATTTGCTGCAGTGTGAACTGGCCGGTCTGAGTTCAACTCAAGCTGGCTGATGGTGTCACCTGCAACTCAAAACGTAAATCACATCACCTGTTTCAACAGCCAGTCACCTTGTAGTGAAGTCTGCTGGTCGAGTCAGAATGACCGCAGATGGTGTATACACTTGCTGCAGCAGGTGCTCCGTCCCTGCTGAGCCCTTTGTTTCCATTCTCACCATGTGCTGGTGTTGGATGGTGGGTTGCTATGTGCATTGTTTCTGTTTTTCACTGTTTCATCACTACTACAAATGCAGCTGTAGCCAGTATCTCACTATCACTGTCCTCGTTCATATTTTAAGAAGCTACAAATTATATTCAGCCACAAAATAAGCCTGAAAAGCTGGAAATCAGAACACAGATACACCGTCTGATCTAGTTGCAATGGTGTGAACCGGAACATTGCAGAAGATTGCAAGTAGTTGCCTGTTTCAACTTGTTTCGCCACGAATCATTGGTCTGACCTGGGTCTGTTTGGTTGGGAGAGGGAGAGACCTCTGCAGATAATTCAGCTCCCAGTAAAACCCTCCTGAGTAATGAACACTGAGGGAATCCTAACTGGGAGTTCAGGCTTGGCACATGGGAGAAGTTCAGCTGGTTGCAATCTGCAGTTCTCACCACTAGATGCCACTAAATCCTACACACTGCTCCTTTAACAGACAGACACGAGGGTGGTATCAACCTTTTCATCTAACTTGCAGCAAGAGAGCGATTCTGTTTCCCAAAACAGGCATTCACTGTCAAGTTTTGGTACTTGATGGTCACACATTTTGGTCGGTACCAGTAGGCCACTGAGGTGTGATACCCAGTCCTACTAGTAGTACAATTTCTAACCTCTCGTCAGATAGTTTTCCTTTGGTAAACAGTATCTGCTGTTTTACCTAAGGTGGTCGAGCATGACAGATGCTGTTCTTAGTGCTTAGCGAGCATGGCAATAAAGGATGAGCAGTATTGCTGTTCCCTTGTTGAAATGAGCATCTCCACATTACCATCACAACTCTTTTACGTCTCTAGCTACCATAATTGTCTGCCAGTTCTGCTTTCTCCATCTGTGTCTCCCACTACACTCCTCATCTCAATTTTCTCTGACCTCTCCATACTTTCCTATTTTCTCTCTCTCTCTCTCTCTCTCTCTCTCTCTCTATCTCAATATATACCCCCCTATTTTCTTCCTCTTTGCCTCGCCTGCCTCAGTATGTCCATCTGTTGTGCTAAACCAAGCGACTGATTGTATTTGCGGCTGTCAGTGAGGTAAATAATCTGGACATCGATGCTAGTGGGTTTGCAGATGGCGTGTGTGTGTGCGTCTTTGGATATGCAGAGGGGATCTGCTCAGGGGACAGGAAGGACATGATGTTTTCTCAGAGCAGGCAGGGAACAGGACAGAGGCTAGGATACAGACTTGGAGTCAGTGATTGTTTAGAGTCCATTTATCATTTTAAACACAAACATGCACGCACAACTGAGAATACAAACACCTACAAGGACATAAATGTGCCACTATTTCCATTGTAATTGATACATCCATTAAACCAATTGAGCTTGCCTGCATTTATCCCTTTTTGTCAATACACACATGCAGGTTTGCATACTGATTCAGGCACCCAAAAATAGCACAGGTGATGCATAGGCAAGCAAGCTGCTATTACATTATAACTGACTCCTTTCCTACTTATATACGATACCTGGAAATTACACATTCTGGCAATAAAATACAGCAGCTTGTACATTTCTCACTTCATTCTAATCTTCTATATTTATCTGCCCTCATAAAGCTCATTTGTGGATGACTGTGTCTCTGCATTGATCGTCTTGTGCCCCTGCAGTTTGACATGCAGCAGCTGTCTCTGGATGAGCTGAAGCAGGTGCTGTTCCACGCCTTCCGGGACCACCTGACAATGAAGGACATAGAGAACATCATCATCACCGAGGAGGAGAGCCTCAATGAAACCTCAGGGAACTGCCCTGAGTATGAGGGAGGTGAGGAAGCTGTTCTCGTGGAAACTTTTCTGTTATAAATACCAATGCTTATAAAAAGACATTTTGTTATACAATTTATGTGATGTTTTACAGCAGTAATTTGACACAGAGCTAAGAAAACGTATCCATGACCAAAAACATTCTCAGAATAATTACCTGTATCCTCAGTCAAACTCTTTAAGGAATCATTTGACATTTTGGGAAAATAATGTACACGTTTGTCTTTTTGCTGAGAGTTGTATGAGAAGATTGATACCACTCTTAAATCTGTGCACTAAGTATGGAGCTAGAGCCAAGAAACAATTAGCTTAGCTTAGCATAAATACTGGAAGAAAGGCCAAATTAGAATTACTAGCCACATTTCTAATTTGTTCAGCATTTCAAATAGGTCCAATGTTAAGCTCAGAGACAATAGACCAATTAGATCTAGGTGGATTAGAAATAGGAACACCATCCTCCCACATTACTATGTTCATGAGAAGGAGTGAAAGAAGACGCAGCTGAACAGGTTACTCTTGCTCTTCCTAGCAGCTGCTCAACAACTATTGCATCATCTAACAATTATGTCCACTGGACCAGCCCATTCTCATTCCCAAGTCATCAAATACCGCTGCCTTGTCAATGATTTCAGTGTCAGGCATCAACGCAAAAAGGCATCTTATGTAGGTGTCAGTTTATAATGCCGCCGAATGGCATCAGTTCCAGATTTCGTCAGTAACAACGTGATATAAGCAGCTGGAAATTCCCTATAGGGCAGGTGGGAGGTGTGGCGGATAAGTCCAACAAACTGTTCGCTTTCTGTGTGCATGCTGAGCCAAAACATCATGTTTTTTTCTAAACCCAACCACGTGATGTTGTTGCACAAGAACATAAATGTGAATTCGAGGTGTTTTACTGATGTTGTCAGTTTACATCGAAAAAGAATGTATGCATCTAACCAGCAGACACTGTACATGACCTGTGAAATCAGAAGTGTATTATAAGATGCACTACATGTAACAAGTGTAAACTGACACGGCGTCAACGTCAACAACAGATGCAAGAGGATACCTAATGCGTCAAATGTAGCCCGCTGACCAAGAGGCGATATTTGAACATACAAAATAGTAGCCTGGAATGCTTCAAACCTTTGATTGATGCCATGTAATCAACGTTCAAATCAGTGTCCAAATGCATAACCCCAAAATACTCAAATAGCCTCAAAATTAATATTTAATAATCCATCATTATGCATTATGTATCAACATTAATTATTCATAGTTGTTCTCAGACAAGGACATTTAAACTCTGGGATAGTTTTTTGACACCAACTCACTCTCATCTAACGTCAGTCACCAACAGTCTGTCACTACTGAAGCTGGGACAGTTTGACCACATGTGTGAGATGTCCAAAAAGTCAACCATCTGGAATAGTCTCAAAATGTGCAAGGATGACTCCCAAAAAATCAAATGCCAGATGCAGCAAAGGAAACTGGCATGTCACAACTCTAAGAGGAGCTTGGCAAATCACCAGAAAACTGTAAGTAACAACTCAGCCGTCTTGCAAAATATTTCTTTTCTAGCTATGATGGCTAATGTAACTGCAACCTGCATGCATTGTCCCAGTATTCTAGGTGCATCGACAGAAAACTTATGTTTCAAAAAAGTTAATCTTATGTCCTTGTCCCCAGTTCTAACCCCTACCCCTGTGGCTGAAGCTTTGATTAATTGTAGATATTTTTCACTGAGGCTTCAACGCCCCAAAACTGGCATTTGGGACACAAATTACAGTGTGAAACTAAATTGCTGTTCAGAGCGTCTCTGACTCTGCAAAGTTCAGACAGATTACCCGCACTTCTAAAGCTCACTATAGTTAACATTTTATTTACTTTTTTTTACCTGTACACAAACAGAAATGTAATTACTGATGTTGTTGCCACTTATTAGTGACCAGTGGCTAAGTGTAGTGACTTTGTACAGTTTCCCCTGGTTGCCTGGCAACCTCACAGTGACAAGACTCAACAAATACTTACAGCATGTGAATAAAAATGAGCATATTTCCCAAAATGTCAGACTAGAGACAAATTTATAAATCTACAGCTGCCTCCAGCAGGGTGCCAACACAGACGGTCAGAGGAAGCTTGGGTCCTCATAAAAAGACTTGAGCTGCCCTGAAAACATGATTTGTGAAGTTTTAGAGAGGCCTCTATGTTATTGACAATATGCTATTTTTGCCAGGCATATTTTTGCCTGTATCTTCATCATCATGGATCATGTGTAAAAATAGGCTATTATTGATTTATGTTGGTTTGTTGATAAGAAAGAAATTATTGTGCTCATCTGTATGCGATGAGTAATGTGTGGAAGTCTAATGTGGTCAGTAGGCCTAACTGATAAATATGTATCAGATGCAGATTTGTTGGTATAAAGCAAGTAGGCCTACACACTCATAGCTTTGAATGTGTCTTTGCAACAATAGTCAGCCATGGTATAGTTTACACACAAGTTAATACCACACTTGGACATGAATGGAGCAATGATCTGAATTTTTAAAATCCCATTTGATGTGACTACAAGTCAACACAGGTGTCTAAATCTGCCAGAAAAATAATGAGTAACATTTTAGGGTAGGAGATTCAGCAGAGGGAAATAATAAAGGAAAATATTAAGGAGTGTGAAGGCAAGAAGAAAGGTTAAGAAAAGTGAGATCGCACAGCTGCAGAATAAAACTCTTTCTGAAGTCTCTCTTCAGACCGTTAGAATAAAGTGGAAAAGACAAAGTGTAGAGTTGTGGGTGATAAAAGACTTTTGAACACAAACTTTTAAATGACTTTCTAAGTCTTGCCTGGCAACATTCAAGGTGATATCCTCAATTTTTTATCTGCTGCTAGACCAACATGAATATCCACCACAGGTTTCATCTGGAGTAATCCTGGGAGCAAGGTCAAGAATGCTGCTGAGGCATATTCAAGAAAACAGACTTGATTATTAATCTCAAGGTCATGCATTAATGTTTTAAAAGTACCAAAACCAGAATGGGAGGGTTGTGGGGTTGCTAATGAGTGCCAAAGTGAAACACAGACGGCATTTTACTGGAGACATAAAACCAAGTTATGTTGCTCTAGGGAGAAGATGGGGGAAAAAACCTAATTCTGACCCTGTGTTAGTCATGGTGCAGAGCTAGAAATTGCCTTTCTGCCGTGAAACATCCAAAAGTCAGACTAGGACAAAGGTAAAGACAGATCAAACACGCCGCAAAATTGGGAAAGTCTTAATGAATCCATTGGGTATTGGCCTACAGTCTCAGGGAGGCCTAAAAAGAGACAGCTGGGAGGAAATGGAGAAAGTTAGCAGAGAAGGGACAGTGAAGGAGGAGATAAGAGGCTAAAGAAGGGATCAGGGAACTGCTGGCTTGGCACTCTCTTTCCCAAACTTTTTGGTGTTGAGGGAAGGAGTTAGGAAGAGGAATAAGAACAGTAGAAAGAGCCTCTCTTGTAAAGAACAGCTGTATTACTCCCCACATTTAACCCTCTTCCCACATCCTCAACTTCCCTCTTTCATGCCTGCTTCCTTCCCATCTTCCTCCTGTCCATCGGGACTTCAGCGCCTTTCACAGTCCCTCTTAGATCCACGACTCAGAGCTGTGAGTTGATTTATTGATGCGGTGTGTGATTCTAACAAACTGAGACAAGGGGGCTGACAGAGAGGAAACTTTTGGTTGTTGCTCTTGCTGCAAGGCCTGTTGGAGGACACATCTGTCTCTACTCCTCTTCCTTTTTCAATCTCCTGAGATTATGTCTTTGGGGGAAAAAACTGACTTTCAGCCCACACACATAGGTAGCAGAGCAGAAAAGTTCCACCTCCCTCCTCTTGTCTTTGTTTTTGCTGCAGCATAGAGAGTTTAAAACCAGTTTGTGCCCCTCATGTGTACGTCACAAGAGACACATCCACTGATGATTTGGCTCAGAGATGAGCAGCAAAACATAGCAACCAGAAATATCAACTGCTATTGCATCCGTACTGTATTTGTTTGGGTCAGAGAACAGAGTTGCACCTTGAGAAACAGGTTTAGATTCATTCACTATAACTCAAAAGTCTATTTACTAGCTTTTGCAGAGCTTGTCACAGTCTTCACTCAGCAAGTGGAAGTGGCTCAGGTGTCATCACATGAACTGCGGGTATGTGATAATGACAGGTGGATGTGGGCGGGAGAGCATAAGCTCTGGCACTGTTATAGGATGGTCTTTGATGACAGGCGTAAATGGTTTCCTTGATTTCCCCTGACTTCTTTTTAATGGTGCATTTTGTAATTTATGTACTGGCAAATTTGTATTGTTCAAAGATTATTGTTTGTACCTAACATTTTTATTCAATTACTTGAAGCTACTGTTTATAGTTTGACATTTTGGGAAACACAGTTTGTTTTCTTGTTGACAGATGAAAAGATTGATATCATTCTAATATATCTGTGTGCTAAATATGAAGCTATAGTGCCTGCAGATGGTTAGCTTAGCTTGGCATAAAGACTGGGAAACAGCTATCCAGGCTGTGTCCAAAGAATCTGCCCACTGACACCTTTAAAGCTTATTAATTAAAATGTTTTATCTTGTTTGTTTAATTTATACAAAACCCAAAGTGTATAAACTGCCAACTGGGATTTTATGGGGGTTATTTCCTAGATCCCTGGCCAGGTGCAGTCACTTCCTGCAGTCTCTGTTGGTTGCCTATGCCTTGAAGTCATTTTTTATGAATTAAACAAATGAGGGTTTTCTCATATTACGTATGATTGCTCTTTACCCAGTGGTGGAGCTAAGCAGTTTTCAATAGGGTGGCCAGGATGGGTCCAGCGGTCATTTTGGGGTGGCACAGAAATCACTACTTTATGAATATAAACTAGAATTACTGCAACACAATTGTATGTCTCTGCGAACCAGTCAAGTTGCAGTTACAGTTTACATCCACGTCTGTCCAGACTCTGTCGCCATGACAGTTGACAGTGCTTCAAATATGTATGTTACTGAAAATAAACTACAAATTCTAAAACGTGAATCCTTCACACATCTTCAACCCAACGGCATAGGAGATCTGTACGATCAACACAGTTTCAAGATGGACTCCCAAAATTAGCGTTACTAGATTAGTATCTGACCAAATGTCTGTGAGTATTGGCCAGGAAAGTGTTTTTGCAGAACATTATGATGTCACAGTGAAGCTTTCCTTTGACCTTTGGGATATAAAATGTCACCACCTTATCATTTTATCATATTAGACATCTGTGTGATATATTGTCATAATTAGAGCATGAATTCCTGAGCTATGAAATCCCCTCAAGGCCTTCTTAAGAAATTGGGTTCATTAGAGTGAGATGGATGCAAAGTCATATTGACTTTGACCTTTGACCATCAAATACAAATCATTTTATCACTTAGTGCAAGTGGATGTTTGTGCCAAATATGATGAAATTCCCTCAAGGTCTTCTTGAGTTATCATGTTCATGAGAGTGGGATGGACAGACGGATGAACAACCTGAGAACATAATGCCTCCAACCATGGCTATCACCAGCATGGAGGCATAAAACGGGTCTAACTAGAAAATAAGGGGCAATTTGAGGCACCTACACACAACTCTATAGATCAAATTATATTCAGTGAATCCAGCATTTCTTTCTTACTCCTGCAGGTAAAGTAACAAAGAAGCTTACACTATAGGTACAAAGTACAAGAGTCCCATTCTACAGCGTATCAGCCCTTCTGAGAGCAGATGTTCAGCACAGCGTATGGTGCTCAGCAGCACTGTTAGCTCTTTCTCTATCACTGTATCATCAGGGATACACATTGACAGAAACATCATTAAATGGAGTTTTTAATCAAAGTCTAATTATATTAAATGTAACCAATAAATATAATCAACATGTACATAAAATCTTACCATCATTAAAACAAGTCGTAGCAAAGTTAACTGTATGAATGTTTATGAAATTGCCTGCCTTACTTATCAAGCCATGACAGATGGCTCCGCGGTAAAAACAAGCTTGTTATGTTTTATATCAATAAAGCTAATCTAATCAGTTACTGGAGCAATATGTTTAATATTACAGGAAATGAACGTATTCTCTAGCAGAGGTTAGAGTGTGTTTGCTGTAACTTTATTGGATTATCTTAAAGCAGGCCCCTACTAGGAAGCTTGGCAGAAATGGCACAGATGAATTACTATTTGAAATAAAACAGAATGCACAAACATGCAGTAATGAGCAGTGAATGAACACCTGCACACTAACACTAGGTCGATATCACACGTGACCAAAAATATTGCCTTCAATTTTGTTGATAAAAATATTCAAAATATAATTCAGCTTTAAGTGGCGTACTCATGGGAGCTAACTTTACCTTACTTTGTTTGCTATTTTTCCTCCTGGCATGCTGGGGCTCTAAACTTTGCTAAACAGATACAGTCACAGATGGAATAAATAAAAGCATCGGAAAGCAATCTGATATAGCCTGTCTATAATCATTTGTTGGTTTACTGGACTGTCACTTGCCAGTTATAAAGTCTCCAGAGGCACTCGAGGGTGCACACATAAGTGTACATAAATGGTTTCACCACTAACAGAAAACCATTCTGCTCAAGATAAAATTACGACTGGGGTGGCCAATAGGGTGGCCAGGCTTCAGTCCACACCCCTTGCCACACTGCAAATCCGATGTTTGTTTTAATCGTGCCTGATTATTAACTGTGTGTGTCTCTCCCCCCCACATGACATTTGTTCATGCTGTTGCTAAAATGTAACGAGGCACGCCAATCACAAAATCCCAAGCCCGTACACTGGAGTCAACCTTTGCATTATGCCTGTATTTTGGAGACAGCGTTAGGAATGACCCCTATCTTACCCATGGCTGTGCAGTTCAGAAAGTGAGATCAGGGGTCCGTTTCACAAAGCAGGTTTAGTGAAAACTCAGAGTCTGTTAACCCTGAAATGAGGGAAACTCTGAGTTTTCCGTTTCAAAAAGGGAGGTAACTCAAACCAGAGAAAGAGGGGTAACTCTAGCCTGTTTCACAGAGAGAGGTAACTTAAGCTGTCAGTCACTAACCGTAGTAACAGACTCTATGAACCTAACCTGGTCGGGACCAGGTTTTTCTCAATGAACCTCGAGTTTCTCTCTGTCTCCGCCCTCTTTCAGAGCCACATACTCCATTTGATTTCCTCATTCATTCAGTCAGCAGGCGAGTTTTGGCGTAGCCTAGTTCTGCCGTCTGTCATTTAAAAAAAAAAATCATTAAAAAATCAGAGTCAGTATATTAGAAGTCCATTAGGCACAGTAGTAGGCACTTTTTTCACTAACATGGCATGTCCTTTTGATAACGATCCCGTGGATGAAGGTGCAGCATTACTGCGCAGAGAATTAATTATTCGTCAGGAGATGGTTATCAGACCACGCACAGATGTTTTAGCGTTTCCAGACAATTATCTTTTTGAGCGGTACCGTTTCACGTCACAGTCCATTATCTACATACACAACCTAATCCGTCCTTACATTTGCAACAATACCAATCGTAGTCTCTCACATCCCAGCAGATATTGTGTGTTGCACTGTGTTTCTTTGCACATGGAAGTTTTTTGTAAAATGTCGAAGATGCTGAGCACTTGAGTAAGGCAACTGTACATGTATGCAGGGCGGTCAGAAAAGTGTGCTCGTTTTACGGGCATCTGCCTTCTTTCTGTTGGCTGAGTAGAAGTCTGTGTTAGTTTAAATAGGCTTAATTAGCCTATTTAACAGAACTGATATAGATGAGAAGTCATTTATGTGTGTGAAAACAGCATTATGTTGGGGATAAAACAACTGCACAGTCAAACAGCCACTTAATATTTACTTTATAATGTAAAACATGATCAAAATGAGGTACCCTCGTGAGATTATGCTGAGCCTTACCTGTTTGAACAATGTTTTTATATTTCATCCTAAACTGCTGCCAAGTGCGCTTCTCACCTGCGGGACTGCACCTAAATGAAATAAATTAATAGGCTACCATTCAAGCAGTTTTCCCCTGTAATATTATTGTGATTGCAAAGGACTACATTTAAACCATGCCGTCTCCCTCTCTTTTGCAGCTGCAGCGGTGTTGCACTTCTTTTTAAAAAAACATGTGCAAACTCGCCGTATGAGCGCATTAAGATTTCTAATTCCAGTGGGGTGAAAAATGCAGCCCTCCCCATCCCCGTTGCCATGGTGACTCGTCGAATCAGGGCTCCATTGATACTGGCTTTTTATAGGTGTGTGATGCACGCGCTTAACTCTAGGTGAAACTACTCCGAGTTGATTAAACTGATTCAAATCAGCTGTTCTGGAACCGGAAACTCAGAGTTTACTATCTCAGAGTAGATCAACTCAGAGTTCAGAATTAGACTCAGAGTTTGTTGAACCTGCTTTGTGAAACGGACCCCTGGTCAGGTTTCTGTGGAGACCACGCTGAGAAATGCTTTTGACGCATTAAATAGTAGTCCACTTTTGTGTTTTGGTACAGTTGGTTTCCCTACCTGATGTGAAGTGTACCCGAGTACACATAAACTGCACTTGAGACCACCTTTTAAGTGGACACTAATCAAACGAACTGGTCTTTGGGGTCAAGTGTACTTAGATCTGAGCCAGGGTCCCTTATGTGGAAGCCTCCTAACTCTCTGTAAAAAAGTGTATTTCCCAAAATGTCAACCATTCCTTTAAAGCTGTGTTTTATATTAATTTTGTATAATTACATTAAAATCATCAACTACATTGAAATTAACTGTCTTCTTGTCTCACGTCTTCTCTCGTCTCTTTGGCTCCTCTCAGTTCATCCCAAGAAGAAGAATCGGCAGACGTGTGTAAGGAAAAGCCTGATCTGCGCTTTCGCTATGGCTTTCATCATCAGTGTCATGCTCATTGCAGCCAATCAGATGCTGCGGAACGGCATGGAGTAACCAATTGCACTGTGAGCATGGGGAGTGGACAGAACAGCCATGACCTCACATCTTGTCTTTGCAGCCAAAGCAGGACCAGCCACAACCCGAGCACTTCTCTAAACAATCAGTTGAGTTTTTTGAGTTTAATTTGAACTTACCTTATAGAAGCAGACAATGTGAATGAAATGAAGACAGATATATTTGTTTTGCATTGAAGATGTCACCATGTAGAGTTACTGGACTTACCCGTCACAAGGAACCTGAACTGGAAAAAAAAAAAAAGTTTTTATATGAACCGGGAGAATAAACGGAGGGTTTTATTTTGCTGTTTTCAAGACCGAGACCACCCTTTAAACTTGATTTTCTAATTACCGAAAATGTTTATCAGGTGCTTTAAGCCATTCCTAATTTAAAAAGCAAACAATTGTTATTATGGACAATTGCATATTTACCCTAGAGAAGTAGCGTTGAATGTGAATGAATGTGGGCACTGAATGTTGGGCACAGTAGATGCATAGTAAATCTGTCACATCTCATATAGTCATGTGGAAACATCACACTATATGTAAAACATCAAAACCCTTGACTCAGTCCACTAATCTTGGGGCACATGAAGTCTTTATGTGTATCTACAAGGAGCACAACTCAATACTCAGTGAGGGACCAGTAAAGAATCTTCACTGTCCCGTTATCTCTACTATGAAGTCTTAGCATTGATTGATTGATAGATTGATTGACTGGTCACTTAATATTTGTGTGGATGTGTTGAAGACAGTGGATAATGTGAGCTCAGGCTGTCAGAGAGATTTAAAATGCATGAAGAAGGAGATTTTAAATCAAATAATAGTGGAGTGATGGTATGGGTTAACAGTAGGACCAGTCTGAGATAAATTATAATATTTTTAGTAATGTGTTTGTAGAAAATATTTCACCTCAGCATCTCATTGTAATACTGCCCAACTGTGGTTAATATAAACCACGCAAAAAGCATGCCAGTATATACACTGCCATATCAAACATTAACTCTAACTCCCATGAATTTCTCTGTGTATATATAGTGCTACTTATCTTGTGTAATGTATTATTCTTTGCAACAGCAGAATGTACGAAGGGTAGAAACTAGTGAGACAAATCAGGGATATACAGCAGAGCTGTGACATGCTGTTGGTACAGCTGTTTTCTTGGAAAAGGTTGCAGTCTAGTGGTTAAAATGAGAACTGCAGCTAAAAGCTTAAACAGCCATGTTTACAAAGTGTTCAGAAGGGAAGAACAACACCAGAGAATTTGAGCTTTGATATGTTTTGTGTCAGTGTCGCAAGGGCAGTTTGGTCTGTGTTGGTGAACATTCACTATTTTTAATGGCAAAAGCAAGAATATTTTTCAGCCCAAACCCAAACTGTGTTGTTGCACCAGAGTACAGCTCAGGATTGAGAAACTGAAGGTGACTGCTGCAGTACCTGTCGTGTCTGTGGTCATTGCTATGTTTTATGGTCTAGACCTGATAGCACTACAATTTTATAAAGCTTACTGGGGGGAAAAGTTTGGGAAAGACCTTGTAGGAGTTTACAATCACTTCCCTCTGTTTATAATAGAGCCCCCTCGAGGTTGAACATCACAGTGACAACACAGATTAAATTTGAGGATGTTCTTTATGTGGGTGTAGAGCTGGGCGATAAAGAAATGTCATTATTTATCTACGTTATCATGTGTCCATCTTCTGCTATTGTTTTCCAAAATTCTGACGTTCAAACAAATGATTTTAAACAAATTGTCATTCAAAACTTAAAATACCTGAGATTAAGTTTTTATTAAACACATCTATAGTCAGTAGAACACAGTTCATCACAATAAACATAACTTTTATACATGATTATTGTATTGTATTGTGATATTGAAATATATAATTACAATTTTTTTATATTATTTTATCAATTAATATTGACCAAATCGCCCAGCCCTATGTTCATGTATGGATTGCTGAATGGGCCTACGGGGCACAGGCCCAAAGGCCCAATATGTCAGGGCCTCCCCCTGGCCTTCACCTGCAAAATGTCACTCAAATTAACACGTAACAACCAGGATGAGACTCAAAATGACCAAAACGAGATGCAAATGAACTGCAGAGACACAGAATAACTACAAAAATGGGCAAAACAACCACAACGAGACACAAAATGACCAAAATAACCACATACAAATTTATCACAAAGAGACACAATATCACAAAAAGATGCATAATGGTTATAAAGAGATGCAAAACAATAAATTGATAAAAAAAAAAAAGAGGAGGCAAAACCACCACAAAGTCTGTGTGTCTTGCTCCAGTGAAGGACAGGTGGTGGTTTTGCATATCTGTGCCCAGGGGCCCATTGTCTCATAATCCCCCCATGCCTATGTTGATGCCATCTTTGAAATACACTCGTTGGTGTTCATACTACTCATTGCAATGTTATATGCCATAACAGCGACATATGTGGATCCCTAAATTGCATGGTGCTCCCCTTGTACTTTATTGGCTCAGAGTGTGGTTTGTTCTCATTCCTACCTTGAAGCGATTATTTGCCCTCAAATGAAAGCAAAACTAAATATTTCAATCAAACTAACGTGCAGCCATGTGAGTTTAAAATATGAAAGGGAGAGGGCTTTCTTTTGAAATTAAAAAATAGCTTTGTAAGATCAAGTATCACAGCAAAAATGTATTATACTGTAAATCAGTATGCATGTTGTTGTTTAGATTTTCGTGTCTTTGACAGACAGGGGAATCCATTTAATCTTTCTTTGTGGTGGCACAGCCTTGGTTTAAATGTAGGTATGTATGTACTACTGTCACATATTTGACTTTCCAGTTTATACTGTAATAGCCATTTTTTCTAGTTTCTACCAGCTATTAATCAAACCAGAGTGCAGGAGAGGGCATTTTCATAAATATGCAAATACAAGGTCACATCATCATCATCGTCATCATCATCATCATCATCTCTGTTTCACGTCCTCTAGGGTAGAGTCTGTAGGCCTCACTGTGGATGGTTAAATTGACACTGATTACGATATATTGTGTGTTTTAGTCACATTAGGTTTTTATGGAATGTTCTTACTGCCTCATAGTCCTGTATAAACTGCTGTATAATGTATGCTACACTTATCCTCGTGAGTCAGTTTATGTCTTTGATATTCTCAGCACATTGACATTTGACCAATGGACCATGTTTTCACATTTGTCTAATAGCGTCATGGTCCTTTTGAAACCAGCATAGACCACTTTATCTTTACAATTCTCTAATAATTGTGCCATTCAGACATCCTTGCATGGCTATGTAAGGGGAACTCGTTTGAAAGACCTTTTATCAACACTTTTGAAGTTTACATTATTATGCTGTACATCTGTAACAGGACGGAATCAGTTCATGATTTTCATGTTTTTGAAAGTTGCTTTTGAGATTTGTTTTTACCAAAACATGTTTTTACCTTGTAGATTGTATAGAGATAAAAACTAAACACAGATATGTACTACAACCTTGGCATGCTGCTTAGAAAAGGAGAAAGAAAACAGCAATAGTCGCCAACTGAATGGATATTTAAAAATGCAACAAGTTTAATCTGTTTAATCTAAAAAAAAATATATCCATATATGTTTATGCAATAAAACCTTGTTTTGATAGAAAATAAGAGGCATCTGTGTTTACTTGTGAAAGATGTTTGTTTGTGATGTTTGTGTGGGATTCTGAAATAATTCAAATTTTGCCTCACACCAGCAATATTATAATGATGACGAAACAATTTTACCCAGTAACACAAAAAAGGTAAAACATTCTTAAAGGGGTAGTTCACCCCAAAATCAAAAATACATATTTTTCCTTGTAACTATAGTGCAATGTATCAATCAAATTGTTTTGGTGTGAGTTGCCGAGCATTGGAGATATCGGCTATTAAGATGTCTGCCTCCACTACAATATAATGGAAATGGCGGCACTCAGCTTGTGGTGCCCCAAGAATGAGTCCTAAAACCCAGTAAGCATTTTTGCGCTCCCAGTACCTTGTCTCAAAGTCAGTGGGTTTTTGGTTAGATGCCTGAAATAGTAACACAAGCTTAAGAGACGCTCACCTTTTGGTCTACAACAGATGTCTGCAAATACCGTACTCTTGAATTTTCTGTAATCATCCAAAATCCAACAGAAAAATCACATAGGGTTTGTGACGAGGGAACAAGGGCATGGCAAACTACCCCGTCGGCCTACACAAAACAGTCATCCCTGGAGCACTCTCTATCTCTTTCCAGAAATCATAACTGGATACTCATGATAATTCATAGATTTTGTTGTGAGCAGTTTTATGTAGGAACTATTTCCTTTCTACCAAAGTACAACTGCTAACCGTATCACCGTGCAGAAGGAATCATGCATCTACTGCTAGCGCCACTGAGATAGCTAACATTACAGCTTAGCGCAGGACACCATAAATGTTTACATGCTGACTCTTGTCCATGAGTAGATGCAAATGTTCTTCCTAATGTTAGCTAGCTCAGTGGTGCTAGGTGAACTAGCATTGCATACTTCCTTCTGCGCTGTGATATGTTTGGCAGGTTTGGTTTATTAGAGAGAAAATAGTTCCTACATGAAACTACCCACAACAAAGTCTGTGGATTATGTTGAGTAACCAGGTCATGATTTCTGGAGCACTTTGAGCACTACAGAGTGCCACAGAGTAGTGCACTTTGAGCACTACTCTGTGGCACTCTGTAGTGCTCAAAGTGCACTCTGTAGTGCACTTTGAGCACTACAGAGTGCCACAGAGTTCCATTATATTGGAGAGAAGGCAGATGTCTCTGCAGTCGATATTTTCAACACGTGGCAACTCACACCAAAACAATCTAGACTGATAAATACCACAAAAGGTAATGGGAAATATATATATTTTTGATTTGGTGGTGAACTGACCCTTTAAATAAAGCAACTTAATTACATATCTTTTGGCTCTCAATAAGCAGATGAGCAGAACCATTTTCACTGTACTGTTCATAATTGTAAAAGTCAGTAGGAAGTTGGCTTGTTGCTTTACTTGTCACTTGCTATCATCCTCGCTGTGTCATTTTAAATACTAACCCTAAAAATAGAATGACAACACAGCATGGCTTTCACTGAGCGCCCTTTACTGCCGTTTCCCCATGCAGGTACCAGAGCGTGCATAAAGGAGCAGTGAGTCAGAAGAGCAGCCTCTTCAAGTGCAGAAAGCTCACTGCTCTGACATTACCTTCACACAATACATGCAGGTCGTGTAGCACTACAAACACAACTGACTGACCTTGGCGGGTGTGACAGACGTGCACACAAAGATCTGCATCTTAAAATTCAATTTAGCTGGGTGCAGTATGTGATGGCTGGAGGTGAATTTGCACGTTTGTCAACATGTGTCAGAAAAGGGAGTCCTGTGGAGCAGTGCTGGCATCAGCACTCACTCTAAATCATGATAATTAAGGAGCACAGGTCAAACACAAGGGAAAATAGCCTCATAGCAGATGCACTCAAACCCCATTAACCGCCAGATAATGAACCAAAACATGCCATTATGTGGACAAACAAGGCATTATGTGAAATGTAATGGCCCAGGCAGACATTAACAGTGTGCCTTACGTGCAGATCCTTTAGTGTGGTCTCATCTTTGTGGGTAAAATTAAAGGGTTGGACTTTATAAAGTGATTACTACTTGCTTAATCACTGTATGAATGATCAAGTACAGGGATACGTTAAAAAAAAAGGGGGAAAAAACTACATTTTCTGTCTATACTGTTTTGGGCTGTGTTTATCTCATAATTAATGTTGGTAAATTAGGAATGCAGTGTAAGGAGAGTCATTGGTGACTAGCACTGGGTATTCGTACTATATTGGATTTTTTTAAGTGGGGTTATATAGGGTACTTATCCATAGTCAGTGTGTTACCTACAGTAGACGGAAGTCGACACTACAGCAGTTTAGAGAGCCATCAGGAGTGCCAACGCAGAAGCTAAGCAATGTACTACTGTGGATGGGGGCAGCTGCAAAATGTAATTTATCCTCCAAAAAAAAGTCCCAGCTAAAATGATATATAAAAGTTTAGGTGTATGCTATATTAAGAGTATTTCTATTGCTGTACCCTGCTGTCAAACTGTTCTGACGGGAAAGCTGGTAACGACTTCAGTTCGCCACCTTTGCTCTCGTCAAAGCCAGACTCCATTGACAAAAACAGTATTTTTGGCTTGCAGAGCACAGGAGCTGCTGGTCCACTGCTGCCTAGATCAGTCAGTAAGTTGTTATTGTGTGACTTTGATGAATCTGAACTAAACCTTTTAAATGCCAGAGTCACACAACAACACCATCAGACTAACTGATTGAGGCAGGAGTAGACCAGCAGTTCAGTGATGTTGAATCACTGTTTTTCTCACTGGAGATGGACTTTGAAGAGAGCAACATAATGGCCTCAGTTCCCCATCAGAGATCACTGTCTGACAGAAAGGTAAAGGGGTGAAATATTCTAAATAAAGCATACACTTGAAACTGATATTGATTTTTACCTAGGGGGAACCCATTTTGTCGCTGACCTCTCCACAGCAGTGCATTGCTTTCATGTCGGACTCCTGCCTGCTTCTCCAACCTGAGGGTGTGCTGACTGACATCGACTGTAGGGAATACACTGACTGTGTGTAAGCACCTTATGAAACCCTACTTCAAAAGATCTTAACTATCCCTTTAAGGTATCATCTGAAATAACCCGGCACCAAGTAGTATAGAAACTTCTCCAGTCAAATGATACGTGTATTCAATTCTTTTTGTACCCAGATCTGGGAAATAATTGTATTGGTATCATTTTAAGGGAACTGGTACTGGTACAGGTATTGTCATTTTTTCAGCAATACCAAGCCCTACTGGTGACATCAATAATTCATTTCAAATGATCATGCAGAAAGGACCACCTGTGAAGAGTCCCCAGATCATCTTAACTGTCACTGTAACCAGATGGAAAAGTAAAAAAAAAAAATCAAATAGTCACACTGATGCTGGTATGCATAAAAATCACTTTAATATGAGGTCTCCATTGCATGTCTGTTGCTCACATGAACCTCTGAAACAATGCGTTGATCTAACACATAAGCATGCACAGACAGCATGAATACAAAACACCGTACTTACTCCAAACACCTGGAAACTGATCAAACAATAAACAGCATCCAGCTCAACAATGAACATAAAAATAAAAACACCTCCACAGACAAAACTGCTTGTTCTCTTATGTCAGTTAGTGCTGGATCATTTACACTGAATCTGACTTAAAGGGGGAAAATAGTAATTTACCCTGGTAACACTGCTTATCCATTGAGTACAATATGGCTTACAAATACCATAAAAACACAATAAAAGTCTTATGTTTCCAAAAGTTTAAAAGGCTCCACAATGTAAACACCTACTAAGTTTAAAAAAGGATAAAGGCACAAGTGTAACAATAGTTTGTTTTTTTTTGTTCAATAAAACACGTGACTCACGAGACCTGCGCTGCCTTCTGTGTTGTGTTGTGACTGCTGATGTCAGTTATTTAACAATAAATAACAGCTGAGAGGATGTAAAGCATCACAAACTGTGATAAACATTAGTCGTTGTACAGTAAAAGAGCATCTTTGATACCTTTATGTCTTCTTGTACCCATCAAGGCAAACTATAACACTATTCAAATGTTGTTAGCTCTCTGAGTGTAGCTGCTGGGTCTTTGAGGATTCAAGTAGTGTTTCCTAAAACACAATAAATGTGACAGAGGTTGGATTGATAAGGTGAAGTCATTGCACCTTGATCCATGACAGACTTTGGCACGGTCTCCTCAAAAGATGACAGTTAAAAGATGATGAGAGAGAAAAATGAGACAGAGGGTTGCTGGTACAGGCGTAATTGGGGACAGAGGTAGGAATACAGAGGTGGACAGAGAGGACAATGGGAGGTGACAGAAGCAGAGAGGAAAAGTTCAGAACTCTGTGTGTATGTGACTGTAGTCTCGGCTGCCCGCTGGGTTCTCACTGGGTTTCATAAAGATGCCCTCCATGGCTTTCCACAGGCTGTGCTGGCTGGGGCTCGACATGGCGTGAACTTCACTCTGACCGTGGATCGGCCGTCCGTACTGCTCCCCTGTCACTGACAGCAGTGCATCGGTGGCCTTGTGACGGAAGCGGACGGCCTCCTCGCGCTTCCAAACAGAGCCCCCGCATTGAACTGTCCACTCGTCCAGGTGGTCTCCTTCCCCTTCATCGCCAAATGCACTCACCTCCTATGGACAAGTGAGAAAGAGATCAGAAGACAAAGAAAAGAGGAGAGGATGAGCTATCTTGCTTTTGCAAGAGTCTTTTGGATCCATTTTACAATCCTTTTACTTTCCAAACATAAATCTATCCATATGTTTGATTTTTAATATTTTACCTTGCTTCTGTCCTTTACATTTTTTCTGCTGCTGAACTGGAGCCTCCAGCTGACTTTCATTTTTATACAACAGTCATTTGTAAAATAACTTTTACAGACCCAATTATTTACCGAGCTAGATATTCCAACACAGTAAACATTAAGACATGTTTGGTTTTGTCAAACACAGTCTGGCTTTTCACTGGCTCTTGTACACCCTTTAGTCTCCAGTGAAGGTTGTACTGATACCACTGACACTAATGTATCAGACTTTGTGAGTGAACGAGGGTGGCCAGACAGGCTTCAGTGCATATAGCACAGTTATTGTGGGTTATGCGCATAAACACCTTTATAGAAAAACAGGCAGGTATGTCTATGTTCTGCCCAAACCTATCTGTTAAGGAACTTCATCACATTGATGCAACAATCCTGTAAATCAAAACATGCCACAAAGCAGACCTGTTCACTGATTTACAGCGTTTTCCACAATAATCCAATACACCCAGGCACGTTAAAGGAATAACTACCTTGGCATAAACACTATCAAAATGTCTGACAGTTAACAAATTTCTGTAATCACACGGTACACATCTTCCAACTCTATTACACATTGGCTAGACAGTGTTTTCACACTTCTTCAGTACTGGAGAGGTTTTAGCTGACCCGAGGCTGTTTTCCCAGAGAGCTCCGTGCGTTTCCTAAAGTGCAAAAGCTGCTGTCAACTGAGGTCCATCTCAAAATGTTGGTCTAGGTTTCAGTAAATGTGAGCATCAGTCTCTTGGTATTTTACATCAACGTTTAGTAATGTTACTGCAATTAATCTCTCAGTGGCTCTAACTTGGCAGGATAGAAGTGAATTATCAGACATTTCACAAAATTTTCATCATCAGCTTTTTTGAATTAGGCTGGAAATATCAATTCCATCTTTTTTCGGCGTTAATATCCTTTCCCAATACAGGGAGCCCATGAGATTGTTCTTAATATATCACCAAATCTCTCCTCTTTCCCCATGTTCTTCTCACACCACCCACCTGGTTAGAGGACAGTGGGGAGGCGAAGTAGTGGCTGTGCAGGTTACGCCCTGTGTTGACATGAGTGAGGCGGATCGTCTGCCCACACTTGACCGGGGTTCCCCGATGGCACACGGCGTCACCTGTCCCACGGACACTCCAGTAGCTGTTACTGTCCTCTACTGCAGTCACACCTGTTACAGACTGCTGCCCGCTACCTGTCACACACACACAGACATGAGCACACACCGTGAGCAGAAGACTGTTACCAGAGATACGCTAAGTAAACAAACCTGGGGACAGTGAGCAATCAAACTAGGATTTTGGCTAAATTTAATCAAGGAAGTTTAAGGCTGTCAGCAAAAACTACTAAATTTATTTATTTTATGAAGGTCTGTTAAAAACATGTACATAGTTGAATTGGTGGTTGTTGAATTGGGTTTGACTTTGAACCCAAGGACTCATGTTGGCAACAGCTCAACTTTGAGGGCCAGAGCCATGCAACAACAACAACTGCAACTGCATATTTGCCTTGAACCAAGGTTATTATAGTTATCTAAAACTTAACTAGGTGTGGGAAAAACACATTTCACCTCACCAAAACAAATATAAAAACTAGAATTTAGAAAAAAACAACTAACTGAAACAATGCTGTGTGTTAAAAAAAACTAACAAATGACACAACACAAAGAAATTTTCTTAAGTTTTACTCTGACAATTTGATCAAATTTGTCGGCACAACAAGCATGAGGAGGCCTGGGTGTATATGTTTAATGAGACTGTGATATCTACATGACTGTGAGTCAATTGCTGTTAAAAGTTTTGTGTTTTTGTAATACCTATTCTTAACTTCTCAGTTCTCACATTTTGCCCCTGAAAAATACTCCCCAAAAAACTAAGTATTAAAAACTACACTAAAACTTAATATTTTTAATACAAATTTAACTGAAACTATCAAACCCACACTGGAAACTAACAAAAACTAAATTGAATTTGACAACAAAGATGAAAAATAAAAAAATAAATAAAATATAAAGATAAATACAAAACTATTACTCTGCCTTGGTCCTCTTTAGATTTTGTGAATATGAGGAGGTTAAGTAATTTGTTTGACTAAGGGCTAGTTTAAGGTAAAACAACTAGTATGCTTTACTAAGGAAAATTCAAACATTCATGTTTTCACCATATAAAGCCACCGTCTCAATTTTTTATCACTTGAGTAAATATGTGCTTTGTAAATATCACCTAAAAGAGGTTTTATGTCACCAATCTTTGTTATGTGGCACTGTGAGTGTAATGTTACACATAATGGAGTCAACGTGAATTACATGTCAAACTGACACTGTCAACCTTTGTACATAGATTCCAATCATTTCCAATTTGCTGTCAACAATATGATATTAATTACAGCGGTAAGTGATGGTAAAATAAGTTCACGTTGATGAAAAACACTGTTATTAACGCTTAACAATCGTTTAATGAAAGGCAACTCACCGGACCCGTAGCGTACGTCGTGTGAGTGTAGTCTCACATTGTGCTTTATATTCAACAGTTTAAGGACAGACCCGCATGTCACAAAATTCAGCTCCGAGCCGAGTGACAGACCTAATATACAAGATATCAATAATAAAAACGTTGGTAGAGAGTTTGGATGAATAGCACAGTCTGAGTTACCCATTCCTACTGAACCCGAGCAGTCACCGATACCTCTCTGAGATTTGTATCATTTTTCGCTACGTCATTAAAGAGGTACTGTATGCTAAGCTAAAGCTCAGGGAACAGCGCCCCCAGCGACTCGGGGTGGTCACTGTACAGACCGTACAAGGTTGTTTGTTTGTTTTGTGTTTATTTTCCGTCACTGTGAGATATTTTGATGTTTATTGTTATATAACAATATCCCCACTAAATGTTAACTGTAATTTTATTGTACAATCGGGTTTAGTAGTTTCATTTTGTGTAGCATCGAGGCACACCAGCAGGGGGCGTCACCTCGGTAATGAAAAGGATGGAAGTTCCCTCACTGCATCCCGGAATTGCCATCACGCTGCTCGTTATCGGCCATTTTTACAAGTGCAAGCTCCCCGAAACACATAACACACCACAATCCCGCTATTACTGTACATATTTACGGAGTATACCACCGCAGTCAGACGTGTAAGTCAAATTTCACCGTGGTCATTTGCGATCTTTACACTGTGCTGCTCGGCTAACGGCCGTTAACTAGCTAACGCTAATGCAGTCGTCTGTTGTTGTCGTCCAAGCTAATGCTAGGCTAACGTAACGTTACTAAAATGCTCAAGTATTAACCAGCGTAAGACTCCGAAGTTGGCTCGGAGGCCTTGGTGTATTTTTACAACAGTGAAAGGGGGTCGTTTTGTCTTTTATTGTTAGTTCTTGTATTGTTAGGAATCACATAGCTCAAATAAACAACGTGAAGATTAAATGCCAGCTTCTTGGCAAAAGGTAGCTAGCTAGCTTGCATCGTTAGCATAGATAATAGCCTTGTTGGTGGTTGCTAGCATATAGGGATTGTAACATTAACTGATTTTACTGGCCAGAATTTACGATATAGCATTAATGCTTGTCGGATGATTGCTCATTAGAGGACTTTAACAAATAATCGAGATAACGTCAGCTGCAGTTAGATTGAAAGCAAGTCGTGTGTTTGGTTGGTCATCTCCCTCGGTGCTCTCTGTGCGCAATGCGACATCGTTAGGTGTTGTTTTTAAACTTGCCAGCTAAATCTTGGTTTGTTTTAACTATCTGACCTTACAGCCTAAAGGTAAATAAAAACTCACAATGTCAAAGCTAAATATGAACATGCAACATTGTTATGTATTATTTAATTACGTTGATTGTCATTAATACACATCAAACATTGGCCATGTTGTGTAATTCGGGCTTTTTCATGTTCACTTCTAAGATATTATTATCACATTGTTTAAAAAATAATCACGTATTCATTTAATATTGCACAGCTTGTGTGTGTGGATGACCAAGAGTGGACATACAACAGAAGTGTATGAATGACCTCAGTCCGTTTAAAAATGCTTTGCAGTAACATGTTGTTCAAACCTTCAGCGCTTTATTTTAAATTCTGCCGAAGATCCTGAAGTTTACAAATCCGCCAAATATGTTAGACTGGATTTCGATCAAACATAAGGAGACATATTTGTTAGTTGCTTTTCTTGGAGCGAGACACAAAGGAATTTCACTGTGTATGATTGTGTTTATGACAAACATGGATTATTCAGATTATGACATTTATAATATTTGCATTTGGTGGAAGGGCGCAGCTGTAAAAAATGAGTCCTGTTTGAACATTTCATCCTGTCTAATAATTTAATCTTAATGAGAAGCTGGACCAAGCCAATGAAGAATGTTTGTGATGCTCCCAGACAGTTTGAAAAAAGATGATTTTTCCAACCTTAAATTAGAGGAAAGTTGATGTTATGGGGTTAAATTGCAATTTCAGCATGTGTTATAGAGCATAGCATAGTTACTGTGTAGCTTTTGTATTTATAATACTCAGATGATGCTGACAAAGTTTACTTACAGCCTCTTGCACTTCTCAGGAACCACAGTCATGTCTGACTTTATTGAGAGCGAGGCTGAGGAGTCAGAGGAGGAGTTCGAAGAGAAAGACCTAAAGCCCAAAAAGACCCAGAGGTTTATGGAGGAGGATGGTAAGATTGGAATTGTTCAGTTGTGGGTATGTGCTTCAGAGGTGGGGATGCATGACACATGGACCACTTATCTCTCGTTTCTCAACAGATGAGGAAGAAGAAGAAGAGAACACAGAGGACCAGGATGAGCGAGGAAATTTACGTGGACTCATTGATGATGGAGACGAGGAGGGGGAGGAGGAGGAGGATGAAGAGCGTGCAAGAAGTGCAAGTGGAGGGGGGAGTGACTCAGAGGAGGAAGTTAGGCATCGACGTAAAAAGCGCAGTAAGTGCATCGGATGTTTTTAAAGGGTTGCCGCTATCGTGCATTGGGTTGTTGTTGCTGCAGGTTGTGAGTTTTGAAAAAGTGTCCTATGTAAAGAAGGTACTGGAGCTCTTCTACACGTTGTGCTGTTTTAGCCTGTTTCCGTGCAGATTCACATCCTCCCCATTCTCATAAACTCCCCTAGATAGCTCAGAATAACAATAGCAAAAATCATATGAATTGCTCATTGTCCGTACAAATGTTCCACCACTCCAGTAATTGGTAATGATTATAATATTGGTGTTTTCTTAAAATGGCTTCTCAGTTGTATTCAATTCAGTTTTATTTGTAAAGCCCAATATCACCAATCACAGTTTGCCTCAGAGGGCTTTACAGCACTCAGCCTTCTGTCTTTTGACCCTCACAAAGAATAAGGAAAAACTCTCCCAAAAAAATACTCTTTAACAGGGAAAAATGGTAGAAACCTCAGGAAGAGCAACTGGGGGGATCCTTCTCCCAGGATGGACAGATGTGCAGCAGATGTGTGTACAGAAGAGATCAACACAATAAAATTAATCTATATGACAAAATGATACTGAGAGAGATGCATGGCAACAACATTAATATCAACTATAACAGTAATAATTGAAATATGAATAATAATAACAGTTGTATATGATTATATGTATGTTTTATGAATATATTATTATTTTATTTATGCATTATTTTATTAATATATGACACTATGTTTACTTACAATAGGCAGGTGGTGAAATGGTCAAAAACATTACATTTGCTGTCGTTGAAGTCTCCATACTCTGCAAATTGATGAATGTTTTCCGGATTATATACGTGACATGTCAGTGCTGTATTACTTGATCACCTCAGCAAGTTACATGTTCACTTTTGTTATCTGGTGAGTCAATAGAGGGGAAGCTCTGATGCAACATTTTCATTTGATACCACTCCTCTCACCACTGAGTGGCAAAGGATGTGAAACCGATCTTTGAACATGGAAAACTTAATGGCTATCAGAATTGAAAATTATGTGTATATAATGGCTAAAGAAACTACAGTGCAGATGGGTCAAACTATGAGTATGGGTGTAAATCACCAGTTTCATCACGGTATGATATCATATAGATTCTTTGGACAGCGATATGATATTTGCCGATATTACAAAGTCTGGGGGCCTGCGATCGATATGAGATGATATTATGCCCATTCATCACATTGTGTTCCAGAAGAAGATGCCACCCCTTTCTTTTTTACATTTGGCCATTAAAGATAAAAACAACACATGAATAATAAGATGATGATGTGATAACGTCATCCTCATCGTCTTTCTCTCGGGACTGCCGAGACAGATGATGATATAGATCGATGGATAGTTACACCCCTAGCTATGAGGTTATTTTGTTATGGTGTCACTATTACAAAGTTTGCTTACTGGAAAGCACAAAGAAGTTGCTTTTTTAAACTATGAAATACTTGCTTATTATGTATCTGTCACAATTAAAAAACAAAACAAATCTGAGAGATCAAGATTGTTTGTTTATGTTATGTGTGTGCTCGTTTTGTTATAATCAGCCAAAATATATTTATTGGATTTCTTTAAACTCCCAAATACGACGGTTGTTTCATAGTGTTGTAAGATACAAATCTTTTTTTAACACCCAAACCAATCTCACTGATTTTGGATCAGGTCCCGATTGTGTATTTATTATACAAATGATATGCAGTACAGTTGACTTCACATTGGTATTTTTCCAGGTATCTTAGTCAGCAGTGGTTTCCCAGTTTAACACAGAACTGATTATCAAGGTGCCAATTAGAGATGTATTGCCATTACGCAATACTACAAACCATTTTATAGCTTTTTTAAAATGAGTGTCCTGGATCTTATTTTGTACTGTACTGTGCTGTGCTGTGTTGAATGGTTCATTTTAAAGTGAGATAAAATACATTTCTGAATGATCAGTGTAGACCTATTTTTGGCATCTGTTTCTTGAGCAGGTAAAACAACAGGTTCCCTCCCTTTAACCTTGTGCTTTCAGCTCCATATGTTGTGGAGCCAGATGCACCCCCATATTGGTAGCATTAACCCCGGCAGGTGGTACTGGATGTTCGATCTCTGCTGGTGTGGTGTATAATCACGTCATATTTTTGTTTTCTCATTATCAAAGAAAGCAAATGTGTTGTGTCAGCCGCATTTACCTGCGGTAAAACCCCGTAATAGATAATTGCCTGCAGCAGCTATGCAGACTAAAAAATATGGATTAGCTGTGTTATAAAGATACCAATTAAAAACATAAAATTATTTTTTTTCCAACATCCCTTTACATCAGCATTCAATTTGCTCAACAAATAATTATGTGCATCACACATGAGAATAAAAGCACTGTTTTTACAGTTGTAGAAATGCAGCTTGTATTGAAGTTGTTTGCTTTTCCTCTTTGCAGATTATGACGACTACCTGGATGACGATGATCTGGACCTAATTGAGGAAAATTTGGGTGTTAAAGTGAAAAGGAGGGTAAGAACAGCTTCCTCTTACTACTACTCCCTCTGTAGTAAGTGTGTACAATTTAACTTTCAGCATAGCACAATTTTTGTACATTTTAAAAAGTTTAAGACAGCCGTGCTGATGCTGTACCTGTCTCGTGTCACAGAAGAAGAAATACGAACGTGTAAAAACACTTGATGATGATGAAGAAGATGACGACGAGAAGGACTTGATCGCAGATGAGATCTTTCATGGTGATGCAGAGGGTGAGCTGGAAGAAGGCGAGGCTGTCGATGAGCCTCTCCACCACGCAGAGGACGATGAAGAAGGAGAGGATGAGGAGTCAGGTAGGCCAGGAATAAGGAGTTTGGAAGCTGTATTGGAGTGTCTAAAAAAATAGAGATAAACAGTAATGTAAACTCAGTGCCAACTTGATTTCTCACAGATTTGGTATAGAATGAATCAGTCTTTAAATTTCTACTTTTGTCCCACAGATATAGATGATTTTATTGTGGATGATGACGGCCAACCCATCACCAAAAAGAGGGGCAAGAAGTTCTCAGGATACACAGATGCGTGAGTACCATAGTTTATACAGGAAATCTTTCCTTTTAAAAGATGTGTCATTTGTAGAAAAAGAAGCTTGTTTTAGCCTCCAGTTTCCTTGCCACATTAAATGATCTACCAGGCCTCAAATAGCATCCTTATTCATCAAATTAAAAATATTGATAAATGTTTTGAAACAACGAGACGATAAACAAAATGGCGAGGTGCTTTAAGATGTTCCAGGTAAAACTCACGATCACTGCTTCTTCCCCTCTTTGCTATTCATCGTCCCACAGAGCCCTCCAGGAGGCCCAAGAAATTTTTGGCGGTGACTTTGACTTTGCTGACTTTGACGCGGACGCATATGACCAGGGTGAGGAGGAGGAAGAAGACCAGGATGACGAGAGTTGGGACAGACCCAAGAAGCAGACTAAGAGGAGGCAAGGGAGGAAGAGCATCTTTGAGATCTATGAGCCCAGTGAGCTGGAAAGCAGTCACATGACTGACCAAGACAATGAGATCCGCTCTACAGATATGCCTGAGAGATTCCAGGTGAGCGTGTGTTTCTGATGCTAACAGTGCTGATTCACTGTTGTTACATTCATATATTGACCACATAGCTCCATATCGTAATGACTGCTTTCTCTTTGTCCATGTTCAATGAATGCTGATCAGGAGGGAGGGGGCAGGTTTTTGACTAGTCAGCTCAGCCTTGAAAGCCTGTTTGTGTCTTTCAGTCATCCTGATTCTGTTCTCCATCTTATAGTTACGATCGATCCCTGTTAAACCTGCCGAGGATGATGAGCTGGAAGAGGAAGCAGAGTGGATCTTCAGACATGGCTTTTCCACTTTAACGATCTCCATGCAGGTGTGACCATTACCACAAACACTCAGGAAAAATGCATACACAAACAAGGCAAAGAACTTTATTTAATTTTCAGCCATCATACCTGGTGAGAGGCTAAAGCACTGAAATCAGATCACTTGTTTTTCCATTGTTTATCATTGTTCTCCTTTCTGTTTTTTCTCCATGCACTAAACAGGAGAGCACAGACTATCTAGACAGGGGGACAACCACAAACTTCAGCAGGAAAGGCCCTAGTACAATCGCCAAGATCAAAGAGGCGCTCAACTTCATGAGGAACCAGCAGTTTGAGGTACAGTGAGCTCACCTTACCCTGTGACTTCCTTCACCTGTTTCCTTTGTGTTCTATTAACACATTTTATCATGTTCTCTATTCCAGGTCCCATTCATAGCTTTTTACAGGAAGGAATATGTGGAGCCAGAGCTTAACATCAATGACCTGTGGAAAGTGTGGCAGTGGGATGAAAAGGTATCATTTGTATTGCATTTTTTTTGCAAGAGGAACTGATTACAGACTAAGGGAAAGCCATTGTTAGGGGTCATCATGAAAGGGTGGGTCCTCTGGGGGCAAAGTCGATTCTTTAATAATCTAAGATTAAATTAACAATTTGATTTTAAATCATTTGCGTTCGTCAGCTGATTGTTTATGCCACTTCTGGTTTCTTGACTTATACATTTTCATCCACCAGTGGACTCAACTGAAGACCCGGAAGCAGAACCTGACTCGTCTGTTTCAGAAGATGCAGTCCTTCCAGTTTGAGCAGATCTCAGCTGACCCTGACAAACCCTTGGCTGACGGCATCCGTCCTCTTGACACAGCTGACATGGAAAGGTACGTCTTGAAGGCTGAAGCTAAAAAAAGATAATCTCTTATGTGCTGCATTTGGTTGTGACTGCATTATGCAAGGAATAATTGCAGGAAATTTGAAGTCCACATGGTGACTGATGACAGACAATGCTGGTCATCTATCCTCACTGCTCTTTTTGTGCTTCATTCAAACCTATGATCGTTTTCTGTAGGCTGAAAGATGTGCAGACTCTTGAAGAGCTGGGCGATGTGTACAACCACTTTCTGCTCTACTATGGTCGAGACATCCCCAAGATGCAGAATGCTGCAAAGACCAGCAAGAAGAGGCTCAAGAAGATCAAAGAAGTGTCAGAGGATGGTAAGATAGATGCGTCTGAATTAACCATTTCATTAGATAGTGCTGGACGGTACTGCAGAATTGTTTATTTCTAAGTGAAACAAATTTTTAGTCAGGAATGTTTGCCTTATTTTTCATGGTCTACCTCTTTAGGTGAAGAAGAGGAATTGGAAGTCGAGGAAGAGGAAGAACAGAAAGGACCAGACCTCAAGCTGGCGTCTCGCAGAGATATGTACAGCATCTGTCAGAGTGTAGGACTTGGTTAGTCTCCCTTTTTTACCTAGCACACCACAGTCTCACTGTATTTTGTTTGTTTGTTTCCTAGCTTGGTAGCACTTCAACTTCCTTTTCTGTTTGTTCCGTACTGCAGATGGCTTGGCTAAAAAGTTTGGGTTAACTCCAGAGCAGTTTGGAGAGAATCTGAGAGACAGTTACCAGCGTCACGAAACAGAGCAGTTCCCGGCTGAGCCTGTGGAGCTGGCCAAAGATTATGTCTGCAGTCAGTTCAGCACTCCCGAGGCAGTGCTGGAGGGAACCAGGTACATGGTGGCCATGCAGATCGCTCGTGAACCTCTGGTCAGACATGTTCTCCGACAGACCTTTCAGGAGAGGGCCAAGATCAACATCAAGCCAACAAAGAAAGGCAAAAAGGTATGGGTACATTTATTCACGTAAGTTTGAGAAAACAAGGGAAAAATCGCAGACATCGAATCCTAAACAGAACAGGTTTCTGAGCTTGCAGAGTGTATTCTGAGTACCATTCTAAACCCGCGTTGCCATTTGCTTACTTCCTGTAGGAGGTAGATGAGGCTCATTTTGCCTACTCCTTCAAGTATCTTAAGAACAAGCCAGTAAAAGAGCTGAATGGGGATCAGTTCTTGAAGATGTGCCTGGCCGAGGAGGAGGGTCTGCTTTCCATCGACATCTGTATTGACCTTATAGGGGTCAAAGGGTAAGTACAAAAACTAAAATGAGCAAAGATCTTTTTTCCAGTGACATTGGTCAGCCAGATCTGCATAGGATGAATTTCCTCAATGCAGAGATATGTATATATGTATTTTACCGATTTTCAACTAGTTTTGTTTGGTAAAAGTGTGGGTAGTATGTGTAAATGAATTGTGATAAGCCTCCCTCTGCCATTGTACTACCTGATTTTTGAATGCCCTTCCCCACTGTCACAAAGCGTGTTAAAACGTATCGAAAGAGATACCTGCCCCTTTGACGCGCTCTTTCTCACACTCAGACCCAACTTAAATCAGACTGTAAAGCTAGGCAGTGCTGATTATATATGAACCAAGTTTCCATTACTGTGTTGCCTATTTCTCACCTAAAATTTCTTCAGAAACATATTTTAGTGCTCTGTTTGGCTGTAGTATGAGAGTTTGCGAACAGGAAGTGGGGCCAATACTGTCTCCTGTATTGTAAAAACAAAAACTTGAAAACTGAGATTAAACTTTAATACTAAGCAACGCTGATCAAATCGAAACCAAGATTCAGGCAGTGCTGATTATATATGAACCAAGTTTCCATTACTGTGTTGCCTTTTTCTCGCCTCAAATGTTTTCAGAAACATATTGTAGCTTACCGTACCATGTACCGAGCTTGCATTGCAGCACAGAACAGCAAGAGCATTTATTGGTCCAGTGTGTTGCATTGCATTCTGGTATTTGTAGGTAGGGTTCAAGTGATCACAGAAATTAATCTCATTTTCCAGGTCTGGAAAAATCATGGAATTTTGTTGGGTGTAATGAAATTAGTTGTTACAGTACTCCTCCATGGATAACCTTTCATGTAATGTAACAAACATAACCAACTATTAGAGATTGGAAACGGTTAGTGTTAAGTTTTCATACAGTAAAAAAAGTTATCTAGTAAACTATACCATCCCGTTCCGTTCATGTTATACATGGTGAATGGTCTTTAAATTTTGTTATGGGTCCTTGAAATGTCATGTAAGATTTAAAAATATGTCCATTAAATGTGTGGGAACCCTGTGTAGCTTTTCAACCTCTTGAGCAAACGTGTTTGCCACAGGCCCTTTCCTCTGTTTTCCCTGGTCATATAGCACCAGTTTCAAAAGTATTTGCGTCTTTCACTGCATAGACAGTCTAGTTTTATGAAAAGTCCATCTATCCAGCAGTGAAAAACTTCTTTAAGGAGGCTGGCCACACACAAGTCAGTTTTAATCAACCAGATGGAGGCATTTCCTTGGCCACAGGACATTTACCACACACAGCACAGGATCTGATGTGACTAACTGTTGTGCCATTTTTAGAGTCTGTATAGAAACCTATCTTGAATGTTGGAGAGAAAGAAGGGTTGATAAGTAGGATAGATCCCCTGAGTTTAATTTCTTTTTAAGACGCAGCTTGTGTTTTTATACACATTCTTGTCAGTAGAGTATGGGGCTTTTGAATTATGACTGTGGTAATACTGAGGCGCTCCTCTCTGTCTCCGCTTCTCTCCGTGTCTTCCCTCTGCTTGTCCTCAGGTATGCTGGGGACCAGACGTACTTTGATGAGATCAAACAGTTCTACTACAGAGACGAGTTCAGCCACCAGGTGCAGGAGTGGAACAGGCAGCGAACTTTAGCCATAGAGAGAGCTCTCACTCAGTTCCTGTATCCTCAGATGGCCAAGGAACTCAAGAGCAAACTGATCATTGAGGCCAAAGAGAGCATTGTCAGGGTAATTTGCCATGATATCTGTCTGCATTTGATGTACATCATTATATTGTGTTACGCACGATGAAATCAATGCATCATGTCTGTAAAATTAAATTATAGAGCAAAATATTTACAAAGTCATTAAACACTCTGTTTGTTTAGAAGTCTTTATGAACCCTGTGTTCTCCATTTCTTCTCGTAGTCCTGCTGTCGTCGGTTGTATAACTGGCTCAAAGTGGCTCCTTACCGACCAGATCAGCAAGTTGAGGAAGATGATGATCTGATGGATGAGAGTCAGGGCAAGGGCATTCGGGTGCTGGGTGTTGCCTATGCACCCAGCAGGTATGTGACCCACTGTATTTTTTATTTTTTACCTCAGATGTATCAGTAGCGACAATTTTTGGTACTGATAACAGAGTGCTCATTTTTAAATGTGGCCGCTTTACTGCACATCTGAATTGCAACAGTATAACACCAGTGTTAGCAAAAAAAAACCCCACACGTGACAGTATAGTTTCTGACTTAAAAAACTTTGCTCCAACAGAGACACTCCAGTTTTCTGCGCTCTGATCAACGGGGAAGGGGAGGTGGTCGACTTCTTGCGTCTGCCCTACTTTATGAAGAGGAGGAATGCCTTTAGGGAGGACGAGAGAGAGAAGAAGGTACAAGCAGAGAACACGAGTGTTCCTCTGCGCAGTCAACAGATGCTTTTTGTTACTGAGATGATCACTGGTTTGTTTGTGTTATCTTCAGGCCCACGACATTGAAAATCTCAAGAGATTTCTGTCTAGCAAGAAACCTCATGTGGTAGCTGTTGCTGGGGAAAACCGGTAAATAATTCATTTCTTTCTGTACGTGCCGAAAAGCTACATGTAGACGTTTTGAACAGCTTTTACAAGTTGTAATGGAGTCGAGGTTGAGAAGTTAAAAACATGCTTTGTGTGTGCAGAGATGCTCAAATGATCATGGAGGACATCAAGAGGACTATCAGCGAGCTTGAGCAAGAGTCCTCTCTGCCCGCTGTGGGAGTGGAACTTGTCGACAATGAGCTGGCCACACTGTACATGAACAGCAAGAAGTCTGAGGTAAATATTTAACACACCACTATACCATACGGAGGCACAAACACATCAGTGGTTTTTACCCAGTATGGCAGCTAACAACAGCAAGTTCACTAATTGGTGGATCCAAAATTTGGCCCAGTGCTCCCTTTGCTGCTTATTTCCCCCTGACCTTCTGCTCTTTATTTGCACAGATGCTGTAGAAACAACTTTTAAATATGTATTTATTTATTAGTCATTACTGGAGCCTGGCTTTTATGATGTGTGTCTGTTATCTGTGTTGTTTTTAAAATGTTTGTTAAGAAGGACACCTCATCTTCTACAGCAAACCACGTCTATGGATACAAACAAAGTAAACTTTTCTTACGTTTTTATCTGTGCAGAATGATTTTAGGGATTACCCTCCCCTGCTGCGACAGGCTGTGTCGATAGCCAGGAAGATCCAGGATCCCCTAATAGAGTATGCTCAGGTTTGCAGCTCCGATGATGATATTCTCTGCCTCAAACTACACCCGCTACAGGTGAGGCATTAAAGAATGGTGGATTTTTGTGGTTTATCTCCATCTATATATTTATTACTATGTGTTGTTTAAACATGCTTTCTTTAAAAAAATAATTACATCCTGTGACATCACTGAAAGACTACTTGAATTATTTTAGTGGAGAATCATTATGTATCAACCAGTCAGTGAATAGTGAGATGATAATGTGACATTCCACTTCTCCAAACTCTTGATCATTTTCCCTCACCCCCTTTCTCAGGAACATGTGGTGAAGGAAGATTTGCTCTCTGCTCTGTACTGTGAATTCATCAACCGTGTCAATGAGGTTGGAGTGGATGTGAACAGGGCCATCGCCCATCCTCACACTCAGAGCCTGGTCCAGTATGTCTGTGGTCTTGGACCAAGGAAGGGCTCCCACCTGCTCAAGGTATGCGTTATGCTATCATGATTGTCTTGTGTCATTTATGAAAGTGTAGTGCTTCATCAGCTGACCTGATAATCGTTACGGTTCTTGTATTTGTTTAGATTCTGAAGCAGAACAACACTCGTCTGGAGAACAGAACCCAGCTGGTCACAATGTGTCACATGGGACCCAAGGTTTTCATCAACTGTGCCGGTTTCATCAAGATCGACACGGCATCCCTCGGGGACAGGTTGGTACATCGTAGGGGTCTGTTACATGCAGGGCTGCACCTAAGGGATATTCTTTTTTATCGATTTATCTAATGATTATTTTTTTGATGAGTTAATTCATCTACTGACTAATTAATTTTATTCTAAAGATTTTTTATCACTCTACTAATATAACAATTACCTTGTCTAAAAATAAATATCAGAAATCTGCCTCATTAACTTATAAATGCTTATTGCTTTGCAACATCAGCATATTTCCATTATTGATGACATGGATTACGTCGATAAATTGCCCCAGCCCTAGTTACACACTCGGGCCATCCAGATGTTTCCCATAGAGCTGAATCTACCATTGTCAGACAAGGCTGTGATCTACCATTCAGCCTGCTGTGAGGTTATTTCAGTTCAGCTTTGGCTTTTTTTTCTCTCAAATCCTCCACACAGTACGGACTCCTACATCGAGGTTCTGGATGGATCTCGTGTTCACCCTGAGACATACGAGTGGGCTCGCAAAATGGCTGTGGACGCCCTTGAGTACGACGAGTCGGCAGAAGATGCCAACCCAGCAGGAGCGCTGGAGGAGATCTTGGAAAATCCAGAACGCCTCAAAGATCTGGACCTGGATGCCTTTGCTGAAGAGCTTGAGAGACAGGTCAGTGTGGGTGTTGTGGCTTTGACCGCGGCAATGTCTCACCATTCTGCTGCCAGAGTTACAAGCAGCCTGAAAAATACTACAGCGCAGAATACTATTTATTTTCAGTCCAGACAAAGAGGCATAGCAGACTCCACTGTATGTTTCAGGAACCTGTATAGCCAAAAGACGCATTCACCATTTTTCACATTCACTCAATTTTCACAAAGTTTTATCATCAGTCTTGTTTTTTATTCTTTGTTTTGTCGGTGTAGGGTTACGGCAACAAGGGGATTACTCTGTATGATATTCGTGCCGAGCTGAGCTGCAGATACAAAGACCTGAGAGTGCCCTACAGAGTCCCCAACACTGAGGAGGTCTTCAACCTGCTCACCAAAGAGACTCCAGAAACGTTTTATATTGGTAATACACATACACACACACACACACACACACACACACACACACACACAGACATAAAGAACTGCAGCTCTGACAGCTGATGTGGTTGATATTTTTGCCTGTGGTTGATTTTTGTCCTCCTTTTCTTCCAGGTAAGCTGATCACCAGTGTAGTAACTGGTATCGCTCACCGGCGGCCTCAGGGCGAGAGCTACGACCAGGCCATCCGTAACGATTCCACAGGGCTGTGGCAGTGTCCCTTCTGCCAGCAGGACAACTTCCCTGAGCTCAGTGAGGTACCAAACACCTCAGTTTTCTCTTTTTATCAATTTAATGGTCAAAAACAGTTGAGAGTCTGACATCTAAATATCATCTTTTTTGTTTTGTGTCCCTGCTTTAGGTGTGGAATCACTTTGACAGCGGATCGTGTCCAGGTCAGGCCATTGGGGTGCGATCCAGGTTAGATAACGGCGTCCAGGGATTCATTCCCACCAAGTTCCTCAGTGACAAAGTGGTCAAACACCCTGAGGAGAGGGTCAAGGTGAGGTGTTGTTTGTTGCTGTCATCACTTGTTGTGCTTTGTGGATTTTTTTCGATTGTTTTTTCTTTTTCTTTTGGGAATGTCACCGTAATATGAAATATTTCTCAACATTTCCAGTTGTTGATAGTTGAACTTTCCAATTCAGACAGATCTATTATTAGTTTTTGTCAACTTCTGTTCTTCCTGTCTTCCTGTTTCATGGTTGTTGTTCCTCCTCCTCCTCCTCCTCCTCCTTCAGGTGGGCATGACAGTCCACTGCCGCATCATGAAAATCGACATTGAGAAATTCAGCGTCGACCTCACATGCCGCACCTCAGATTTGATGGACAAGGCCAATGAGTGGAAGCTCCCCAAGGACAGCTACTATGACTTTGACACAGAGTCTGAAGACCAAAAACAGGAAGAGGAGCTCAAAAAGAAACAACAGCGAACACGTTAGTATAATTACAAGATTAATAAAAGTTGTATGAATCAATACAGCTAATTAAACGGTACAGTGTGCTAGCTTTGGGTGATTATTTTTTCCCCTCATTGTGCCTAGCATCTACTTCCACATCACTGTGCTAATTTCTGTCTGTTCTTTACATTCCCTCTGTCTCACCAGCATATATAAAGCGTGTGATCGCCCACCCCAACTTCCACAATATCAGTTTCAACCAGGCAGAGAAAATGATGGAGACGTTGGACCAGGGAGACTTGATCATCAGACCCAGCAGCAAGGGAGAAAACCACCTCACAGTCACCTGGAAAGTAAGAAACTTGGCCAAAATAAGACATGATATCAAATAAAAATACAATGAGTAAATATTAAAAGCACACACTTACATGTAGACAGTGTTGCCAGTACTTTAATGCTAAGGCTTTGACACACCATATTCCACTGTGACACTGTGTGATGTTTTGCAGGTGGCTGACGGTATCTACCAGCATGTGGATGTGAGAGAGGAAGGCAAAGAGAATGCATTTAGCTTAGGGCACACTCTCTGGATCAATAATGAGGTAAGCTCTTTTCACCTTATTGTTCATCATGATCCAGACCTGCAAGTGTATCATGAAACATCAGCAAAGTTGTGGCGGCTGCATGTTTTTAAAGAGTCTCTCATGTTCTCTGCAGGAGTTTGAAGATCTGGATGAAATCACTGCTCGGTACATTCAGCCAATGGCATCATTTGCCCGGGATTTGCTGGGACATAAGTACTTCCAGGACTGCAACCAGGGAAGCAAGGAGGTATATACTGATCTGCTCTAATATATTGTTCCTGTGGGAAACATAACTTAATCATTGCACAGACTAAGACGTCTCATATCTCCTTTGGTCATGTTCTTTCTCTAACAGAAAATGGAGGACTTACTGATGAGGACAAAGAAGGAGAAGCCTACTTTTATTCCTTACTTTATTTCGGCATGTAAAGATCTGCCAGGAAAATTCATCCTGGGTTACCAGCCTCGTGGAAAACCACGGTCAGCAGAACTGTTTCTCTCTCTCCTGTTTTCTGATTATTTGCTGTAATGATGCCATGGGGAGAAAATGGTGACTGAAAAGGATGGACTGATTTCAGCGGAAGCTGATTTAAAACACAGTTGTTAAAGGTATACTGCGCAGGAATTGTCATTTACTGCTGGTAAAGACAACAGTCAAACTTGGCCCCTCCTCCCTGTACTGGGTACACTGCATGCTACTGTACGAATGTTACATTTGTTGTAACAGGAAAGATGATACTTGAGCAAGTTTACTAAGCTCACTGCCGCCACCTACCTGTCCAGCAGGAAACAGTCCAACTCTGCATCGCTCTTAATTCCCATCCTCGCCTTCAGTGCTGGTCAGGGAAAGTGAAAGCCAACCCCAGATCCACTCTCGTTTTGAAGCAGCTTTGTCTGCTTGGCATTTGGCTTTACTATATTTTCATTTTGTTCTGTGCTGTGTCCATGATTTCAATAGTTTGGATGAGTGTTGCTACTGTCTGGTCGCTGCCTTTTAGTAAAGTCCTGACCTCAGCTGTGCGCTTTTGTTGGTTGGGGTGGCTGCGCAACCAGAGACCTCCCAACCTCAGCAAAATAGGAAAATACAGGCAGAGGGCAGAGTCTGCAGAAAATACATCACTACATGTCTTGTCTAAGTGATGATTGAGAGGGGTTACGTTTGATACAGTCTCTATATATATAATCTCTATATTCAGTGAATGTAGAGTCTGTAGGCAAACCCTGGAGATCTTGCCTCCGGAAGAAGAGCGGAAGAGCCCTGGTTTCCGGTTGTAGGCTATTTGTAGTCCGCCTGATATTCAATCAATCAATCACTCAATCAATCAATTTTATTTATAAAGCCCAATATCACAAATCACAATTTGCCTCACAGGGCTTTACAGCATACAACATCCCAATGTCCTTTGGACCCTCAGCGGATAAGGACTAAGGATATTGACCAAATAAGTTTGAGCCGGCTGCAGTTGTTGCCAGGTTAAACGGTCCATGCGGTGAACTAACGAGGTGGAACATAATTGGCGTCACTGCAAACTCTGAATCCATCGCAGTGGTTCAGCATATGAACGGAAGTCGGAAACGGAAATTCGCCCAAATCAAACCAGAATACCAAAAAATCGGGGGTCTGCCCCCAGAGGCTGTATCGCCATCTGCCAGAAGTCAGACGCCGAATACAGCCGATGGGTTCCGAGAATGCGTTTAATAAGTCTATACGTTGTTTTTTAGGAAAGTTATGCATATTGTACTTTTAATGTTGCTTTTTCCTAAATCAGCTCAAGCTCACATTAGATCCACAAAAACATCAGTAGATGCCATTCAGTGCTCTGAATATCATGAATCACTGTGACATATGGTGCATGCAAAGGCCCATAACTACTACACAGGCTCAGATTTTCAGTCTTTGTGAGTCATGTCACACTCATCATGCCCAATGACTCAGCACCTCACAATTCTTATCAACTCTCCCACACAGCTGCTCCACACCCAAAACATTTTTTATTAGATATTTTGCTTCTTTGATTGATAACAAGGTAACAGCAGCAGAGCTGAATGTCAACGTGCCATCTTCTTTTTGTTTTTGTCTAGGGTTGAGTATGTGACCATCACCCCGGATGGCTTCCGTTACCGCTCACAGATATTTCCCACAGTGAATGGACTGTTCCGTTGGTTTAAGGACCATTACCAAGAGCCGGTGCCAGGTATGGAAACACTATAAGGAATGTTTGTTGTGTGTATTACAGCAGGTGAAGGATATTGTGCGTATTATCTAACATTTTATCCTCTGTCAAAGGCATCACTCCCAGCAATAGCAGCCGAACAAGGACACCTGCGTCCCTGAACGCCACCCCAGCCAATATCAACATCGCAGGTGAGTCCCGCTCTCTTCCACCCACACACACACACACACATTCAGCATGAGTGGAGTTGTAGTACATTTTACTATTTTCTAATTTATTCCTTCATTCCTAGACTTGACGCGAGCTGTCAACGCCCTCCCACGCAACATGACTTCTCAGATGTTCAGTGCCATCGCCGCAGTCACAGGCCAGGGCCAGAACCCCAACACCACCCCCGCACAGTGGGGATCCAGCCAATACGGCTACGGTGGTAGCACAGGAGGAGGCGGAGGGAGCTCCTCTGCTTATCATGTGAGTGCAGCTTTTAATGGTGACAGCCACTGTGGAAGGAAAGAGGTTGTTTTGGAGATTCTGATAGAATGATCTAACACACAGTAAAATAAAATATGGACTTGGTGTGCAACAGGCTTTATACTATTATATTATATTTTAACTTTTCTCAAGTAACTAGTTGAGCCACATTGATAAGCATTACTTGCTCCTCTGCAGGTATTTGCCACACCTCAGCAACCCATGGCGACGCCCATGATGACGCCCAGCTACTCCTACACCACGCCGAGCCAGCAGGCCTTGGGCACGCCACAGTACACCGGCTCCACCCCGCAGTCCTCCCACTCTCACACCCACGCCCACCCACATGGAAGCCACGTGTCACACCACAACCATCATGGCCATCACAGCAGTCACCATGGCCACGCGTCCAGCACGCCGTCATCCTCAACCTCATCGAGAGGACGGACTCCACAGCAGCAGCAGCAGCAGCAGGCGCCACCAAAGTAAGTGCAGGCAGAATATGTGTGAGTGATCTGATGTACTCTTCCTTTTTCCTGAAAAAGAACCCTGGTGTGTGTTCAGCTCCTGTGTAGCTTTTCTTTAATAGTCAAACTGATTATTCATGTACAGTGATCATAGCTATAACCTCTCCAAAGTTCCCGCTATATGAAATTTGATAAGTTTAACAGTAACGTTGTCATCTCAGATTCTCCCTTCAGCTCCACGTCAGAATGCGTCGTGTCCATTTTGCTGTTAAACATCTCAAATTAACAAATCAACCAGTTGTTGAATACGTTGTTTCTGCCATTAGATGGTGCTAAACCCTCAATCTGCATCATTTTAAGGCTAAGCAGCAGCCCGCCATTCAATCTGTCACTGTCTTTGACTGAAACACCTCCCCCTCTGTCCTCCCTCCTCGCAGAGCCAGCAGCAGCAACGCCTCTGCAGTGGACTGGGGCAAGATGGCGGAGCAGTGGCTGAAGGAAAAAGAAGCGGAGGGGCGGAAGAAAGCCCAGAGGATGACGCCTCGACCGTCGCCCAGCCCCATGATCGAGAGCACACCCATGTCCATTGCCGGAGACGCCACACCCCTGCTGGATGAAATGGACCGATAGGACACGCAGGGGGGCGTCGCTACACCCCCCCTACCCAAATCCATCCTTTGTACTGCTCCTTCATCTGGATAACCCTCCACCTTTTGTCTTTCCCACAACCCATCAGCACTTTCATCCAGCCGACCAGTAGCTGGAGCCCAGTCCATCCAGCTGACTGTCCACTCATACGTTCTCTTCACCTCCTGATGTTGTAGCTGCAGTTTATCACTCTGGCATCATGGCTCATCTCACTTCCTTCCTTCCTCTTGTCTTCCTGTATCTCATCCCAGATGTTTCCCCTCCTCACCTCCAGCCGAATCCTCTGGCTGCTTAGTATTTTGTACAGTCAGAATAACACTGTAAATGTCATGCAGAAATGAAATTGTCATACAATGGCAAAAAAAAAGAAACTTGAAATACGCGACAGCAGTTACATATAGGATATGGACCTACACAGACAATGTCAGACAAGCTGTCCTACTATCTTTATTTTTGCGATTGGTTTTAGTTTGATCCATGAATGGTTTTGACAGAGGGGCACAGTTACCAGTTTCCAGAAATCCACTTTCCCTCCTTTACGGGCGGTGGATTTTTGCGAGCAGTTGCCAAAAGAGCGCTTTGCCAAGCCAATCAGGAAATTTAATTTTTGTATGGAATGCGTCAGAATGAATAAAGACTGTTTTTTTCTGTTTGAACCCAAAGCCTCCGCTCTTCACATCTGTCAAAACAAACACACCTGCGACCGTGCAGACACACCGAGTGCGAGGGTTTAGGCTGAATGAAAAAAATAAGTCAAGGAGAAACCTTCGTGTCAGCTTGAGTTTCTCTCGAACATCACTTGTATGTCTATGCCACATGCTGTATTATGATCACCTTACTGTATTTCGGCTCCTGTAGATAGCTTCTGTCGTATTGTTGACTCTTATTTGACTTATCTGGGAATTCTGTGTGGACACTAACGATGTGAAGAAGTTGGTTCACATTTTAAAACCGTTGATTTTAGTAACAATAAGCGGCAGCACCTCGTCATGTCAGTGTCAGAGGGTAATTTTTTTAAAGTTGACTCAAATATAAATCTCTTGTGTCTCTAATGTTTGCGGTTCAGTGAGTATTCTCACTTTCGAGACTGGGCTATGATGTTTGCCACCTTTCAGGATGTGATCTGACACACCACTGCTGCAATTCAGTCCTAACCAGTATCAACAGCAAAATTAAGACATTCAGTGGATGAGTTCAAATCTTTCTAACCGTAACACTATCAGCTGAAGCTACTATCAAACTGAATTCCCACTGCGTTTATGTCCCTCACTCTGTATAATAATCTGAACCGCACACAGCTGTTTCAGTAGAATGAATATATTGTTGTAAAAAACACAATCTCTTTTGTGATCGTCGTGCGGCACTTGTACGCCACTCTGCATCCCTCTTGACTTATACATTCAGCTTTTTTTTTGTTGTTTTTTGGTGTGCCTCTGTGCCACAGGACAACCAAGCAGCGCTGGTATTCAATGGTGTGCTTCATTTTTGCAGTGTGCGAAGTATCATGGTCCCATAATATGCATATGGTTTTAAATAACTATGGTTTTTGAGTACTTGGTTTTACGTCTCTTGCCAGATTAAGATATTGCGTCTGTCTCAGCGAGGCTGTGGTTGGTTCATAGAGGAGAAACGATGTCTCTGGCACTGCTGATGACCTTTTCTACCTGTGATCCCTTTAATAAAAGTGTTCATATTAAAACCTGAGTCTTGTTCATGTTGGGAAACAAACAAGCAGTGCAGACATGTGATGTACATATGAATGTGTGCGTCTTCACGGTGGAGATATGATAGGAACAGAATGTGAAGAATTTTCCCAACATTTGCGCTGTGTTTACACCACATAGCTTTTTCTATTTCAACAGAAAGAAAAGACAAACTGATCAAAACCAATTTATTTACAATTCAAAATCCAGGAGTTATAATAAACGTATATGTGTTTAATAGGAGATGACAAAAAAGCAGACTTCTTCCTCCTGTCTGACTTAACTGAGTGAGAAATCAGTTAGCCTCAGATGTAACTTCCTGTCCCAGCGAACAATCCCTCCATTTTCAAGACCATGAGAACCCTTATGTCAGAGGAGAGAGATGCGTTGTGGGTATGACTGTGGTCATGGGAGCTGGAGTGCGCATCACATTAGCAGCACAGACACATGACAGAAGGACCATTGAGAAAACCCAATGGAATGCACCACGTCTGGTGCTGATATATTCTCCAGCAACGGGAGAAAAATGTTGCTTCAGACACACGAATGTTTATAAAAAGCAAGTGCAGCTTAATAAAAGATCTACTGGAGAATAATCTTCCTTTGTTGATAAATGTTAAGAAGCATCTAACAAAGCTTTATTTGTTGCAACAAACATTCCTGAGAGTATTTCTTGTTGTTTACAGCCTCAACATCCTCTCAGGTCATTTGCCGAACAACACAAATATAACATGATTTAGCTGATGGGACATTACTTTTCACGTGGTCTGTTCACGATATCCACGCTGAGCATGCTGAGTCCATGTTTCAGTTTAATTTTCCCCTTCACTGTGACGTGTATCCAGGTGGTCGTCCTCTCTCAGCAGCAGGTGGATTTCCTCTTGGTTGGTTTGTGATGAGCTTCTGTACTGTCTGTGAGCCCTGTGGGGAGCACAAATAAGAATATAACCTTTTACATTTCAGCATTCAGATGAACAGTGTGACCTTCAGCAGGAAGGGTTTGAATAATTAATCTGAGCAAAAATATGTTACTGACAGAAAATTCCAGGAAAATATCAAAACTAACAATGAATTGATCCTAAAAACAACATTTTAACTATTAAAAACATAATGAGCCACATTAGTTTGGACTTGCAGAATTCAGTTTTATCATTACATACAATGAATATTCCATTATTATTTATAGTATTTAAACAAGGTGCTATTTCTTTTCCCCTTAGCCTGAGAGTAGTTTAAGTCCCTACCAGTCATTTTGTAGGGACAGGTGTGAGCGTAACAGACTCAGAGTAACATTTGCAACGCTTGAGTTGAAAGTATGTTGTGAATGCAAAGAGAGTGAAGTTGGTGTACACTGTGTTGCCGTACTGGTGACGATTAAAGAAGATTATTCAAGCACAAGACACATTTGAACATTAAAATAAGACTCAGCTGTCCACCTTCATCTAAAGTAAAAGGGACATGCTTGCGTGGACAGCAATGTTCACATCTTGGCCAGAGAAGACAGATGGTTTGAAAGAAGCATGAAAGAAGCCATCTTTGCCAAACTAGACGACCATTATTAAAAAGAGGAGGTGGCCTATGACATAACTTATCACCCACCTACAATGCAGTCTTGCGATCCCTCCCCAGAAGACTTAACACCCATTCTCACCTGGACCCATCTGACCCTAACGACATACAAGATGGCCAGGTGGGTCAACGTCTCACATGTCACCTTAACGACTTTAAAACTCAGAGCTCACAGGTGGCGTCAATGACTTTGTAAGGGTTCACACCCACACAGGGTTTAAAGCCTGTGACTCCAAACCAGTCCGTTGGAACCGAACAAGCCTCTTGGATGAGAAACATCTTCGAGAAACTCAAGCAAGTCCAGTTGCCTACAATAGCGCTTAGGGTTGTCATGACCTGGATGAAGGGCTACTTTCATCCAGTATGTCTACAAAGCAAAGCAAACAATCCAAGAAGAAAAAACACTCTGTTGTTAAACGGCTCACAACTCAGTAATTTGTGATAAGAGGTCATACGAAGATATTTCATCACAAGTAGCACAAGTCGCATTGTTCATTTCCTTTTGATCATAGATTTGTTGACAATAAGAAAAGAAAAGAATAACACCAGCTTTCTTATAATATTTCCTAATCCCAACCTCAGACTTGTCAGAGCCACAGAACATAACTTAGACTGAAACAAAACTTGGGTTCATATGTCTAGGGAGAAAAACAGATTTTCTTGCTCCAGCCACAACTTAAGGATTACATGTTTCTCTATAGGTTGACAAACAGACCTTTGAGTTTTTAAACTCTCACAAATCAAACTGGGTAGATAAAATTAAATCAACCTTAAACCAAGACTGTAATCATGACTGAGTACTTGACATTCTAAGATACAGTGGTTCCCAGAAAAATGAATCAAAGAAATAGTTTTTTTTAAGCAAACGGACTTACTTATAATGTCACCGACGTGCCTTGACCCACTTTTCTCAAGCTCCGCCAAAACGTTGGCCTCAAAAGTCAGCGAGGCCACACGGAAGAAGAAATCCTTGACACCATCACCTGTAACAATGAAGAGACGGAGGAAAGACAGAAGAACATAACATGAACATGAAAAGCATGCAGGGATGGTGACTGACGAATGTGGGAGTGAGGTGGTGGGAGATGGGGATCTGTTCCTGTTAATGTGTTGTTAGACTCCCACCTGACTTGGCAGACACGGCCCAGTACTCTGCTTTGATTTCCTCCGAGAGTCTGATGGCTTCTTGCTCAATTTGAGCCAGCTGATCCGGAGACTGAGGAGTGGAGCACAGAGAGAGGAGTGAATGGGACCAGGGAGGTGGAGGAAAGTGGTGGAGCATAGAACAAGCTACAGGCCATTGGTCACCATGGAGTTAGACGGATCTAAACTAAAAGTAAGATATTCAGAGCTGCAACATTAAGTCGATAAACTGGTCGGTCCATTGACAGAAATTTAATTGGCAACTTCTTGAAAATCAAAGCATAGGTGCCAAACATGGTTTGATTTCATGTTCTTAAATGTGGGAATTTACTGCTTGCAGAAAACTGAATATTTTTGGATTTTAGATTGTCAAACAGTCACCACTGTGGGCTCTAGCAAATTGTCATGGAAATGTTTTACTGTTTTCCGAAGTTATCTGGACCAAACAATTAATCAAAGGTTATTTACTTAATGATAAAAAATGTTAGTTGCAACCCTAGCAGCATTAGCAAGAAAACTTGATGTGATGTTTTTACTGTCACCTGAATTTTAAGGTTACTCCTGCCAAAAATACAGCGCTAAAATTACATAAAAAGTTAATATACAAATTGAAAACAAATTTTTATTCATGTCACCCACACTGAGGTCCTTCTTGGTACCGACAAGGAAGAGTAAAACACTGGATGGGTCATTTTCCTTCATGGCATCCTCCAACCACTGCCTAACATACACACACACACACACAATTATTAGACTTTAAATGGCATTTTAATGGCACAATAATTACATCATAATGGAGTATTCCTTACCTGGCATGTGCTAAAGAGCTCACACTGCTCAAGTCAAACACCACTATAATGGCTGGAGGGGCACAGAGAGACAAGCAGTAAGAGAAGAAGTAAAACAAAGAGCATGATGAGAGAGTGTTTGTGTGTGAGACAAATGAGAGCTATACTGTGGACACTGAGCGCCATTCACCTTGTGCTCCTCTGTAATAGGTCGAAGCAATGCATTTGAAGCGCTCCTGGCCTGCTGTGTCCCACCTGAAATAGATCAGACGCAGCTTTGATTGTTCTGGTTGTGATATTTGGTGGAGATGAAGGGAAGAGGAAAAGAGGAGGAAGAGCTGTGGGTTGCTGTCATTATGGCTGTTTATCATTCAGTGTTGTTTTTGTTGAGAGCAGAGCTATAGAAGGCCTTAGTCAACAATTATCAGCTTTATTTAAACAAGACTAAACTAGACTAAACTCAAAGTTATTACAGTTTGTCCACAGACTGTATAAAAACAATGGACGTTGCCACCGTGACGTCACCTATTGGCTCATAGAAAGCAGCTGGAAAATGAAGCCAACACAAAGTCCCAAAAACTGCAGTTCCTCTAATGACCATTTGAGGCTGGCTTCAGCAGTGAGTCCATCCCCCCTCCCCAAGCCAGGTACAAAAAAACAATTTTGGTCTCTATTGCTTATTTCACCCTCCATGTCAACTGTACGGGGTGGAGTTTTATGTAGCTCAACCATTTATATTTTATTAATGCTTAAAGCAAATGCTTAAAATTGTCACTTCCAGCTCCAAAATACAAGATGGCGTCAGTCAAAATGCAAAACTCAGGGCTTGACATCACAGTAACTACATCTATTATTATTACAGTCTATGGTTTGTAGATTCCCGTTTTGAACCCTCGAGCTTGGCATTTTGGCTTTTTGGCCATCTTGGATTTTTGGAGCCAGAAGGCAAGGCGAACAACTTTAATTTGTATATTACACTGCAGACAATGTCCTACAAAATAGAAGTGACCCAAGGTTACCATATTTGGGTGAGAGGGTGGAGCTGTGGAAGAGCGAGGGGTGGATCTGACAAAGACTGCTGTGACATCTCGCAGACAGCCTGGCATTAAAATAACGTGTGACTTTAAGCCTTAAGAAAATTTGATTAGACAAGTTATATTAAAATTCCCCCGCCTGCAGATTTGTTGTGAACTGGGAAATTAACTATAGAGACCAAGGTTGGCATTTTAACATGGGGGTCTATGGGGATTGACTCGCCTTTGGAGCCAGCCTCAAGTAGCCGTTCAAGGAATTGCAGTTTTTAGCATTTCCCCATTTGCCTCATTTTTCGGCCCCAGAGGTTGGTGCTTGACTTCATCCTGTGGAAACCATGAATGTTTGTACCAAATTTCATGGCAATGCATCAAATAGATGTTTGATGTTATGAGACATTTCACTCTAAACCCCCAGTTGTCAGCCTCATGGTGGTGCTAGACGAAACATTTGGGAATAACCACCACCAGAGGGATTCATCCTCTGGAAACCAAGAATGTCTGTACAGACTTTCATGGCAGTCCATCTTGTAGTTGTTGAGATATTTCAGCGACTGTAATTACTAACCCTCGAGCCACATTGCTAGCATAACTAACAAGCTCAACGAGCAGGAGAAGAAGAAAAAGAAAGGGAGGCAGGAGAACGACAGTATTACAACGCAAATATCTGGTGATTAATCAGTGAAAGCGTACGACCACGTTACAGCTGTAAAGGTTCACGGACTTTATTTTCTCATTTTCTCCCATAGGGGCTCATTAAATGTCCTGTAGAGATGGTCTCTGGGATTTTCACCAACACAGTGAAGGAAAAATTGAATTATGTACTTTAAGGCCCACATAAGAGTCGAAACAACAAGCTTGTAAATTTTTAGAGGATGTTACATAACCTAAAAATGATCTAATAATGTGACTTCATGCATGTGAAGGCTGGGTAGCACTGAACAGAACTTGCTGACCCATTCGACCCTGCTGATCCATCAGTGCAGTGAGTGAGTTAGTTTGTTTGAGGCTCTGAGTGAACTGAGTGTTGAGCAGCGACCTACTTACAGCTGTAAACTGAAGGGAACACCGAGCACCTCGAAACGCTCCATCTCAAAATCCACCCCTATGGTTGCTTTGTAGTTTTTCTCAAACGCACCCTTACGGAACCTTCAAGGAACAAGTGGAACATGAGAGAGAACTTATTTTAGACCTGCAAAGTCTTTATGTTCATCATTTTGCCTATAACGTCAGAAATGTTTGTGGTGCCAAAGAGATGTCTTTAAACTGATAATTTTGACTGATCAACAGCAATGACACAAAGTTACTGGTGAAAAAAAACAAAGTCATAAGTTTGCAGTATCATCATAGTCTTTACCCTGACTGACATTTCATGAGATCTAATGAAATCATATAAACTGTGTGTCTTTATCGCATAACAACCTGGATATAACTCACACAAACTCAATTAAATGATGATTTGGACATTTCCCAAAGAAAATGTGAGTCTCTGCTGTGCTGTGTTGTGCTGTGCTGACTGTGTTTTTGTGTGTGACTGGACTCCTCATCATTGCACGATAACGTTATTATGACATGAAATGAAAAGCATCAAGCACAAAGGCAAAATGTGGTGATTTTAGTCATCTAAAATTTAGAAATTGTAATTTTTATTTAATGGTTTTTATCAAAAAGACATTTGCAGCACTACAACTTCAACTTGAAACACAATTAGGTTCAACCATGTATCTAAATGACGCCCAGAAGCACTGTGAAACTGCCACATTATCGTTTAATCAATCTAATTATTTATGACGCCTTCTTACCTGCTGATCAAACACGTTTTCCCAACTGCAACATCTCCCACTACGATGACCTTGGCGATATTAAAGCTGACAAGAGAAAGCTGTCACAGTCAATAACGACTCCATGAAACACACAGCAACATGATGAACAACATGCAGACATCACTGAACTCTTTCATGCCTCACAGCCCCCTTTAACTTTTATGTTCCAGAATAATTAACTTCACAAGTGATCCTTAACAGACTAAATGAATCAGTCCTTGGTCTGCTTTTACATGAAAGATGAGTCATTTTAATTACTAAATTAATTTAGATTTGATTTAAATCTAAATCTCAGCCTGATCCCACAAATTAGGGGGGATTTGTTATGACTGAGACATTCTTGCTTCCTAAAAGGATAATTATATGCAACATTTATTTAGATCCTAAAAAAGAACAGCACAGCCTTGAGTCGAAATCTGCTTCATCATTTTAATTCATTAAATGTACTGAGAGTTTGCTTTCTGCAAAAAAATCCAAGTATGTAGTAGAAATCAAAAAACAATTTGTTTTCGTGTAAGGTACAAGGTTTTCTGCATAAATCTTATAAAAAAAGGAGGGATCAAAGCTCTGTTTTGACACCAGATATGTCTTAGTACATGGCTGAAAATCAACACATTCTCACTCCGACCTCGTCACATAGCCTATCGACGTTTGGTCATGGACTTTCCACGTCCACATACGACGTGCAAGGTACCCTGGGTGTGTTGGTTGTTGACGTTCTGGGATGCTGTGTCAACTTCTGTCTGTTGCATACATTGTCTTCTTTCAAAATACACTTCCATTTTCATAGGAAATTTACCATTTACATTCTGTCTCTTTCAAAATAAATGCACAACATCATTTTTTTCCCTCCAACAACAAAAGCACGTGGTTAGGTTTAGGAAAACAGATCAGGGATTGGCTTTAGGATTATATGGGACACAAACACCACTCCCGGGTGAAAGTCCGACTAATCCTCCACCCCTCCTGCTCTTCCTATTAGGACTTCTGCCGGCCTAACTTTCGTTCTTGTCCCACTGCATTTCCCCCCGAATCCGCCGAGCACAGTTAAACTATAAGGGCGACTGGCTGCGTATCATGTCGATGTTAAAGGATGCTTTTTTTTGTCAGTGTGTGACGCTGCAACTCACTGCCGAAGCGTCGGATTTCAGCGACTTCGGAGTGAGACCAGGTTGTGAAAATAGTCCCCAACAAATGTGCAAATTACTCCTGTTTGAGTTAACATTTCAGCAATGTTTGCTAAAGGCTGCAGTGCCAAGCTGATTTTTACTGAGCTTTTTTAGAAGAATTAAACTTTACATTTGTGACTAGTTTGTGCCACAGACAGAGTAGAGAGGCTAAAAAGTATTGAGAGATGGACTTGTCAATGGTATTTATCTGATTTGACAAAAATATCACTGGCCTTATCCTTTAAAGGTCTAGTGTGCAGGATTAAGTGGCATCTAGCTGTGAGGTTGAACTGAAATTTCTCCCGTTTGCCAAGGAACGAAGGAGAACTATGGTGGCCAACACAAAAACGCATAAATCAAATCACCCTATCTAGAGCAGATGTATGGTTTGTCCATTCTGGGCTACTGTAGAACAACATGGCAGACTCTGTGGAAGAAGACCTGCTACGTATGAAGATATTAACATTCTAAGGTAACGAAAACACATCAGTTCTAACTAATGAAAACATAGTTAGGAATATTATATACCATTCCTGCCAATACACGTCCCTAAATCCTACACACTGGACCTTTAAATAGACCTCCAGATGAATGCAGATGTGATGGGAGAGGTCAAAAGCTGTCAGCTGACACAGCAGACATAGCATGACTTAAAGGGCCCTGCCATGACTAATTCATTTAATTTAAACACAACATGTTACAGTGCGTGGAGCAGCAGGACGGTAGCAGCTGCCGGGTGCGTTGTCTTATTAACCCCTCTGTGACCTTACCTCACTGTGTCTGACCTCTGGACATTGCACGCAGCCTTCACCTGTGGGTGGAAATTATCTTTGGTGTGCAGTGCTGCATTGGGACTGAAACACTGTAAAGAAAGTGAGGAGGGGAAACAGAAAGAAACCAGTGGGAAAAAAGCACATTGGACGGTAAAAGAGAAGGACGAGACTAATATAGGCTAATAAATCAGTTTTAAAAGGTGAATGGCAATGTCACAAACTTAAATCATCATCATCATCCCTGAGTTGTTGCTGTCTTATCTTGAATATAAGTTCAATATCACCAAGGCTGGAATTTTAAGGTTTTGTGAGGACAACCACATTTTGGAATTTTGCAGCCATCCACTTTCGGGGAAACAAAGAGCAGCATTTAAGACTCTAAATAACCTCATCGTCAATAGTAACGCTGTTAGCTGTAATTGCATTATAGAGCATATTTGTGTGTGTGTGTGTGTGTGTGTGTGTGTGTGTGTGTTACTAACTTGTGGGAGCTGAGTAATGATCCGGTCTTTCTTCACAGGTGGCAACATGCTGCTGCTGCAGTGGATCACTTCACACACATACACACACACACCTTCAAGCTGCCACCTTCACTGACAGCAAACACACACTTTTCATTCACTTCAAGAAGAGACACACACTTAACTTTCTTATTTGTTTTTTTTTTCTCTTTAAAAACTCTCAAAAAACCAGGGAAGGATAGTTAACGTCCTCCAAGTTTTCCTGTAATAGAGCAAATATCAGAATTAAAATGTTAAATATGCAGAGCATACAGTAAAACAGAAACAGTTTGGAGTAAACTAATATCAACATGCCCCTGATTAACATCATAAGAAAATATAGATGATTCAGGTTAGATTAAATGAAGGTATTGTTTTATTGTGGCAACAATGCAACCCAAAAACATTTTGTTTTTATCTAACGTGACATCTCTCATTGGACAAGTGATAGGTTAAGGTGTTAGGAAGGTGTGGTAGAGACAGAGTGTGTTTCCAGATGAAAGATGAAGCATCATAGTGCATAAAAAAAGAAAACACACTAAATACAGAGGAGTCTAAGTAAGTTTGACAACTTTACCTGACACAGCTGGATGGTGGCTCTGGAGATGTGATGTGATATCCAAAGTCTGCTGAGAAAATAAATCCAGACCAAAATGACGCTCACAGAAACGAACCAGGTCTCCAGACTAACAGCAGTCAGACAAACAAGCAATTAATGTGACTCTCCATGTAATTAGTGAGGAAGACCTGTGTAACAGCGCCACCCCGCGGCCACAGGCTATTTAACTCATCTAAGTGATGATTAATGTTTTATTTAAATATCTGCAAATAAAATGTGGCTGCATTTTCTTATTTGAACTCGTGTTTTCTTTAATTAATTATTATTTTATTATCTTGTTTTGATTGATGTGTTCATTCGGCAGTAAACGGTGCATAGCCTGGGCGATACACCAGGATTTATGTAGGTATATTCAGGACACATAAATGTAAACACAAGTTACACATCAGGAAGACAACACGCCCTTTGTCCCTTACTACTTTATTGAACTGTCAAGACGTTACACAGTGAACAGGCAGAGGCTTGAGCAGCACATAAAAAATCACAAAAACACTGACATCAAAAATTAAAAGTAAAATGACTTATGTAGAATGGCCCCTTTCAGAGTTTTATGATATAATTCTTTTGGATTATTGTCATGTGTAATGGACTCAGAACTGAATTTCAACAGCCACATTAAGACAATTACAAAGTCAGGCTACTATCACATTAAGAACATATCAAGGACAAAAAAGACGTGTCTCAGCAGGATTTTGAAAACCTTGTCTATGCATTTATCTTTAGTAGACTTGACTATTATAACAGTGTGGTCTAACGATTTACTGGTCCCCCTAAAAAATGAATCACACAGACCTGCATTATAGAGCTCAGACCTCTCAGGTGATTGGGAACAGGTCTGCTTTATGTTATCAGAGTTAAGACTTGACATGGAGAAGCAGCGTTTAGTTTTCATGTACCATATCTTGAAAAACTTGCAGGTGCACTGCAACTTTCAGTTCATTTAAAGACTTTTCTTTCTGCTGCTGCTGCCTTCTATTAAATAAAATATTTGCTCATTTCTTACACTGTACTAACTTTTGTATTTTATACCTGTCTAAATGTTTTATAGCTTGTGTTTATTTTCTATTCTCTAGTTCTTTAATTACAGTTTTAATTGCATTCAAATGTCCCTTTAAAATGTGTTTTTACACATTTTATCTTGATGCTTTTGATGTTTTATGTGGAGCACTTTGAATTGCCTTGTTGCCTCAGTGTGCTATAGCAGGGGTGTCCAAACACTTTTGAATGCAGACTGGGTTAGAAAATGGTACAATACGTGAGGGCCAGGCAAAAAACTTAAAATGAGACAAACGCAATTGTTTCATCTTTCCACCTCTCCCAAAAGTGGCAACCTTCACTCTCAACTTAACTCTTCTTTGCTGTGGCCGTGTCTGCTACCTAGTCGCAGGAAATGTCTGCTATTAGTTAGGTAACTGTTAATTTGCTTGTTAGCCTGTTATTTGAAAACACATTCGTTCTGCCTGCACTGTGTGATAATCCTGCCATCGTGAGGTGTAAAAATGTAAAGTGATCTTGCTTTATTTACCAATATTGTGTGGTGGGCCACATATAGCATTTTTTGAAAGACAAGCTGGGGGCCATTTAAAATTGATCCACAGGCCACAATTGGCCCCTGGGCCAGACTTTGGACATGCCTTTGCTATATAAATACTATTTTTTTTATTAGAGCTGATCATACATGTTGTATGTAATCTAAATGTGAAAAGTGACTTGTAACTAGCTTGCAAATACTGTAATGGAGTAAAAAGTATTGAAGTATTTGCCTCTGATGGAGTAGTGGTACAGTAACGTTACATAATTAAATATTATTAGTTTCTTCTCACCACCGGTTGTTAAGTTCAGCGTTAATTTAATAAATTAAATTATTTAAATGAGAACTGAATTTATTCATCCACACTAGCTGTTATTGAATTAAAAAACACAGCATTGAGTCGTGATGTTCACACTCCGGTACAGCAGGTGGCGACAGAGCGTTATTTCACGCACCGGAAATGACGTTTTATCCCGGCGACATTCAGGCTTTAAAATCTTTGCCGTCGCTCTCAACGGTCTCTTTTGAATCCGCCTGTCGGTCCAACACATGCGGCTCTCCTCGGCAGTTTTCACTGAACTTGTTAAGAGTTGTTGTAACTACAAGGACACAATACGAAATGTGCAAACAACACGTTAGCTGAGAGGTAGTTTGAGTCTGTAGCTAAAATCTGCTAGCTAAAGTGTAGCGTTAGCATTGTACAGGCAGGCCTCGTGCAGCCACGTGGAGAAAACTGAGAAATGGAAAAGATGAAGGACAAGGTGAGTTTTGGAGGGGTTTTTTTCTTTCGGCCTCGACGATAAAGAGGATGTGTGTTGCTTTATTGCAAACATTTAACTGTTTCTTTCTATAAAATCATGTCTCCTCTAACAGTCGGCGAAGATAACGTGCCCTGGAAGCCTGATCTGTGGGCGTTTGTCATAATAAATTGCTCTTAGTATTTAAATAACGTGGTTACATTTGATAAATGTGGCTTTCTCAAATTTCAAAAAGTGAAAGTGTTCAGAAACGTGGCATTTTAGTGTAACCCTAACCAAGATCCACATAAATACTTGTCTAGTACTGATGTCTGTCGTCCAGAGTTTTTATTTATTTATTTATTTTTTAAATCATGAATGTCTTCTTTCTGCAGGTCGACTTGAGGCTGGCAGCTCTCTGCATGAGTCTGAGTGGTGTCCCTGCGAGGTGAGTTACAGTGAAGCAGATCAACTGTCTGTTTAATGCAGTTGTGTCAGTGATGAAAACTGTGAATAGGAAGTGCCGTCTGATGCGACAACTGACGATGTTTCATACTCACTGTGCTGAGCCTCTAAAACTGCAGTTAATTCTCATTGGTTATCAATTGTTATAAACTGCTAATGCAAGTTACTCACCGATCCTGTTTTTCTTTTTTAAAGGTCAGAAGAATGGGTTCATTCAAGATGATAAAGGCACATTAAAGTCACACTGAGGTTGGTTTAATGTTTTGTTCATGGAAATGTGCTGTAGCCATTAAATGTTGTGATGAAATTTAAACTGAAATAGCTGGAATTACCGGCAGATTGTTTAGTGGTGACTCTCGGTTTTCTGAACATGTGACGATACAGTTCTGTAACCTGTGAAAACAAATGGACAAATCCTAACCCGGTGTTCTCCCTCTGCAGCTGAAAGAACTTGTGTTAGCGGCCACAAGAGATGAAGTTGCCATGCAGTGCTGCTCATGCTCCCAAGTGAACCATCTGGCCTGAAGACGATTGATTCTGTGCAGGTGAATATGTTTGTCTGTCAAAAGTGTCAACCAGCTGCTTCTGTAGTGATGAAACCTAAACTGAAATAGCTGGAATTACCGGCAGATTGCTCAGTGGTGACCATCGGTTTTCTGAATGCAAAATTGCAGAAACATCTTCTACAGTGGGCTTTGTCATTGCTAGATTTTCACCTTTTTTAATTTTGTTCTCAAGGCTGGGTTTGTGAAGTAAGAAGATTCCTCTGAAAGAACGAATGAGTCATGTTACAGGATGCAGCTGCAGCTACATCTGAGACAGACCTCGTAAGTTTTTCATTTTCACAGTAACTTTAATAAAGTCATAAGCTTTTTTTTATAAGCTCACCTTGTACACACATTCAGTACTTGATTGATTTGAGCATCTGGATTGTACAAGCTTGTTCTGTGATACTGTTCAAAGTGGTTAAATAATACAGTTAAATCCTAAATACACATGCTGTGATGTTGTACAATGGTGAGTTAATTGAAAAGCTTATAAAGGGGTAGATGAATCTGCGTAGCTTTGTCAGTGATGAAAACCTGGAATAGGAAGTGCCGTCCGATGCGACAACTGACGATTGTCTCAGATCCAGTTTTCTGAGTCTATTAAAGCTCTGCTGAAGAAAAATGTGTTCAAAAAATATTTGTCTGTTCTCATTTTGCCATGTGTTTTTTATTACAGGCATCATTCTGCCAGTCTGTTCCTGTCCCCTGAAGTCTGCTGTCGAGTGAATTCACAGGTAGATTTGAATCTTTATCACATAAATAGCAGTCAACATTGTTGTGATGAAACCTAAACTGAAATAGCTGGAATTACCGGCAGATTGTTCAGTGGTGACTCTCGGTTTTCTGAACATTAAATGGTCCTACAAAGTACACCTGAATGAAATAATTTGCAGGCTAACATCCTCTCTTGTCCTTCAGAATCGGATCGAGCAGTTGCGGAGACTCTGCCTCAGTCCACCTGCAAGCCACATGTGGTAAGACATCCATCTGATTCATCTGACCCCTGCTGGGGAAACTGTCATTGCAGCAGTAAATATTAACAGGATCCACTCAAACTCATCACTCTGCCTCTTTTTGTAAGGCAAACAGCTTTCTGATCTGATTTACTGTTCACATGTGTGGATTGTTTTTGTATGAATTGAGATGAATGTGTGTTGCATTTTAAAGGTTTGACTTTTCATGTATTAATAAATTAGGAAAATTGTCAATTCATAAATATTCCTATAAATGTTTTTATTCCAAGACTAATTTGTCCCCCTCTTTTCTTCAGATGACAGGACGACTCATGGACACTGGTCTGAAGGTGGATGTCGACATGTGTTTTGAAAACTATTTTACACTGTAAAATGCAGTATGAGTAAATGTGTGGTATGATTCCAATAAAGTGTCAGGACAGCCTGATTAACTGAAACCAGTGGTGTTGCTACTTCATTAGCCTGCACTATGATACACAAGCAAATCTAAAGGTGACTTGTGTCTACAACAGAGGTGGGACCAAGTCACAAGTAAGTCTTTGCAATCTTAAATGAGATTTGACTCCCAAACAAGTCATGTGCCCTTTGTCAAATGTGCCATTAATGAGGACTAATGTTCGGTTACAAAAGTCATTAATTCCCTTTTTTTTAATATTAAACATGCTTGTTAAAGTTACCTAGCTGTTACGCTAATATTAGCGATACATTAGCTCACAGCTATGTTAATATTAACCTTGACCTACCATTATTTGTGCCACTTGCCAAACGTGTCGACCACTGCGTACTTTTTG